ACACAATATATATATATATATATATATATATATAGTGTGATTCAAGAACATTAGGGTTTATAGAATTGAGATTACGTACGTTCCAAGGAAGAAAACCTCGGCCAAAACAAAAGAACCCAAGATGGCAACGATGACCATTTTCAGAGGACTGAAGGCAGTAACGAAAACGGGTCCTCGAGTCTTCATTATCAGTCCTTGTACATAGTAAGCGATCCCCGAACAAATCACTCCCTGAATTCGAAAATCCATGTCCAGTCAGTTCAAAATTTTATGAATTGCAAACCCTAAACCTAACGTTTCTTAGCGAGCAAGTAACCAATCTAGAAGATCTCGAAATGACTTACACTATAAACAGCAGCCAGTAACTTGGAATCGAACTGTACTGACCAGGCGGCTGGATTGCCTCTTTCGATCAAGAAAGCAGCCAAGGTGCCTTCAATAGCACCCATTAGGCATATATAAGCTGTTAAAGAGAGCTCGAACGGGTATGATTTAAGCGTGATAGCCTGCATAAATGAAGTCGTATATATATATATACACACACACATGACGATCAAGGGAAAACACCAGTGAAAGAGAATACACAGACAAATATTTTCAGATGAAACTATACTTGGAGATTGATGAATCCGGCCCAACAAATCGAACCGACGACTATCAGAATAGCGCCCTTTAAAGGTTGGTTTTCGATCTCGGGGTTCGGTGCTTCTCGATCAATGATATCGGGATTCGTATTCCATGGAAGAGGAACTAAAGGCCCCCTCACAAGAGTCATTAGCATTGCCCCACCAACTGTTACAATGGTCCCGAAAATCTTGGCCTGACCTTGTGTTTTTCTGATATTCACATTCTCAAGCCTGTATATATACAATGTACATTCATCCATCACTTCTCCGGAACTGCATGACCGATACCGAAATTCTTATCAATGTGGTATATAATGTTACCTGAAGAGCCAGGCCATGAGAAAGGCAAAGGCAGGGAGGACATTGGACATTGCTGCGGTGAAAGTGGCCGAAGTGTATCTCATTCCGGTGTAGTACAAATTCTGATCTATCGTCGGCCTATATATACATACATACATACAAAAATCGCGTAAATAAATAACCATTAGAGATTGAAAGATCGAAAAATCCTCTGGCAAGGTCGAGGCTAAATTCTTACTCCAGTAATCCGAGCATTAATATCTTGAACAAGACCGGCAGAGTCATCTTTGGCCTCACCTTTCTGTTCATTGAGATACACAATATATAAAATCAGTAATCTCATATACCCTCATGCAAACGTATATACAGCTTAACCTAGCATACAGATATACACAAGTTCATGCATTACATATATATATATTATACGTGTACGTACGTATATGCAGAAGGAAAGTGTGTGTGTGTATATATATATACCGATCCAAGAAAAAGGCAAAAGGAGAGATCACTAGCGTTGCGACGATATAACGGTATGAGACGAGAACGTGAGGGCTCATGCCGTTGTTGAGGGCAGACTTTGCTATAATCGACAATCCAGCACTGCCAAACTGTAGAAATATAACCAGTAGAAACGGCTTCCATGTCTTCAATGTTCCTACAAAACCCCTCTCCATTACTATGCTCTGTTTTAATGTCAATATTATGCATATATATATATATATAATGTATGTGTGTGTGTGTGTCGGTATATATATATACGCTATATATATGTGTGTGTCACGTGTCAGTATATACAATATGTGCAGTGATGTGTGTTCGATGAGAAACGAAGGAGAGGGGGGTGAGGTTGGTTTTATAACGGTGATTCAGCTTCTTTCTTGCAAATGAGGTTGCGAGTATATATGTATGTCATTATCGTCATAATTATGAAAATGATAAATGCCCAAAAAAAAATCTGAAGTTTAGGTAAAATAACCCATTAATACCAAAATTATTGTTTTGCACCGTAAAATTACCTAAACTTTAGTTAATACACTTCAAATCGCTTTCACGTCATTCTCACAAAACTTTTATAATCAATTTCTAATATTTCCGTTAAGATTTTTTTTATGCTTAGGTAATTCGAAAGTAAAATTATTTTTTAAGCAAAACTTTTTTGTTCTAGCATTTGTTTTCTTCAAATCGCACGAAAATATTTAATGCCAGTGAGATCATTAAATTATTTAATTCATAAATCTTTTAATTTATAATTCGGTAATACCTTATAATTGCACTTTTTATATTTATAAATTTATATTTTTGTCAGTAATCACTTAATATCAAGAGATTCGTGATATGGCTTCATCATAGCACTAAAGCGATTAAACATCGAAATAACCTTAAATGACACATAAACCACGCATTAAACTCCACAACTTGTAATGATGATACAATAACAATCCCCATTCTGAAATTACTTGACATGGAAATCCCAACTGGAATTTTTTTAAAGAAGGCGAGATATGGAAATGAAGCTATTACATACATACATACATACATACATACATACATACATACATACATACATACATACATACATACATACATACATACATACATACATACATACATACATACATGAATACATACATACATACATACATACATACATACATACATACATACATACATACATACATACATACATACATACATACATACATACATACATACATACATACATACATACATACATACATACATACATACATACATACATACATACATACATACATACATACATACATACATACATACATACATACATACATACATACATACATACATACATACATACATACATACATACATACATACATACATACATACATACATACATACATACATACATACATACATACATACATACATACATACATACATACATACATACATACATACATACATACATACATACATACATACATACATACATACATACATACATACATACATACATACATACATACATACATACATACATACATACATACATACATACATACATACATACATACATACATACGGCGGAGGCGTATCCTTTGCTGAAGAACTTGTCCACGGGATCCGTCGAATCGATCGTTAACTCCAACAACGCCAATAGTGTCGCTTTCAAGTCCTTTGTTACTCCGAATCCAGCCGCAGAACCCGTTGCAAGAAAACATGACATGATCTGTACATGTGTCCAAAATGTATACATATGGTATATATATATATATAATAACCTCTGTATTGTTGGTTTAGAGGTTGAGATTCATCACCTTGTCGCCGTAAAAATCGAGCTGATAGTTGAAGGGATTGATTTTTCCGGTGGCGAATTGGAAGATGGAGAAGAAAAGTTGAGTAACCGCGTAAGCTAGTCCGATCACAGCAACTGACAACATGTATCTTCAAGAAATCCCAAGCATAAGTTACAAGAAAATCCATAGATATTTCGATCTCATGATCGTGTGGATATATATATATATATCGATTTTTGAACTTTTCGAGTAAAACCCATATCTTCATTTGGCCATTAAAGCATATGCCGAGTCGAATTCGGAAACCGGTCAGTCCATGTCATGTATAATGTCACAGAAACTTGTGCTTAAGAAAGTGCACAAACTAAAGAACAAAAACTTCTTTAGATTCTTTTTTTTTTCTTTCTCGAATCTAGATTTAGGGCAAAGATTATATGTATGCTACCTATATGCATAGACGTCTTTAAACTCGAATTTTACAGAGAGCCGACCAATCTCGAAGGTGCTCGTGTTTGTGCCGAGAACGATGACCGATACGAGGAGGAAAACCGCCGTCAAAACCCTAAGGAGGAGGACGAGCACTGCTCTCATTGACACCGGCGGCGACGGAGATGAGGACGGCGGGGGCGGAGCCATTAATTAGAGTTCTCTTAATCAAGTAATTTGCCTAATTAATCAAAGAGATTAGAAAGATCAAACACAGAAGTTCTGACAGTAATGTTTGAAGTGGCCATGATCTTATAAGACAAAGCTACGGGCGTTGACTCCGTGAAGAGATAGGGTTTGACTTTTCGTCCATTGGTTCGCTGGTTTGGGACCAAATTACTAGCGAGAGAATAGCGATGTCAAACAAAAAAATTCCAATATTAAATTCTATAAGTGTTTAATAATTAAAATCCAAATCTAATTTTTTAGTTAGTTAGTATTTTAATTTATTGTTTCTGTCTGCTTTATGAATTTTTCATATTTTTGTAAAACATATATTTGTTGTTAACATAATCGTAAATTATAATAATATTATAAACTTTAGAATTTATTCCACGATATGGATCTTAAATGCCATCCCTCCGCTAGTAAAATTTTGTATTTGATAAGAATGCTTCCTAATTTAAATTTAGATAATAATAAAATGATTTTAAGTATTGGCTGGCTTTCAGGTGGCCAGATCTTCTTTCTTCTCAATGATTAAATCCGCGTACTCGTTGTTGTTTATGCAACCGAATTTATATATAATTTAATATTTTGTTCATATTTATTCACGCACTTAATTTGCGGGTGTATTTTTTTCGTCAATTTGCTATTTTATAATATTTAGATTACTTAAATTCATAATGATACCCATGTTCCAACACGATTTTCTTATACAGGATCTTTTCTTTTTTTTAAAAAATTTCGTTGACATATATAGGACCGTGTTGAAACACATTCTCATGTCAGAGTGCGGTTCAATTCGTCCGGTCATGTTTAGTTATTTCGACCGGTTTGAGTTTGTCCGGATGTTTGTTCTTAGACGTTAAATGCCGTCGGTTCTTTTAGCCCTTTTGTAAACGTCTCTATTTATTTTCAATTTATACTTAAAGAAATCATCTTTTTTACTACTTTTTTTTTTGTTTGAAATGTTAGGGGAAAAAACAATTTGTTTAGAGTCTGAATTTGCACTAGAAATGTCAGTTAAAATCGATATGTGGTTTAGTTTAAACGATTCGGCCCGTTTAGTTTAAATCTTTAAGTCGCATTAGTCTTGTTGGATTCTTTCCATACAAAGACTTGTTTCTTATGCAACCGGAGCGAAGAGTTGTGGGGATGATGATGATGATGATGATGATGATGATGATGCATATCATAATTAAATAGTAGTGATATGAAATGGGAAAAAAGAAGATAGTGAGATGATGATGATTGAGGACATGTGGGAGAACGTGACGAGAGAAAATATGAAAACGTATATTCAAACTGTGATAGTGATGAGAAGGATGTCTCTTGGGCCAAAGCTGCTGTGTGGGAGAGAGAGAGAGAGAGAGAGAGAATGTGCTTCACTCCTTTTGCTTTATATATTTTCAACTTGTATAATAACTTCACAATCAACTGCCATGGAGGCCGAGTTAATATAAAATAGGACAAAAAATGAGATTTTTTTTCCTAAGTAGAAGACGAAAAAGATATATGAAAATTAGAAAAATAAAACTAGGTAAAATAAGTATGAAAATTAGAAGACTTGAGAACATGATCTATATATATCGTTTTTTTTTTATTAAAAGTAAATATTATATATATAAACAATCGTACACAAGAGATTATCAAACAATACATCACAATATCTGTATTACCGTTTGGTAATTTTTTCGGTACGATTGTTTATATATATAACATTTACCTTTAATAAAAAAAAAAGATATAGATTATGTTCTCAAATCTTCTAATTCTCATATTTATTTTACCTACTTTTATTTTTCTAATTACATAATCTTATATATACGCTAAAAGATTCCAGCTAGTTAGTTTCAGTACTTTAAAAATAAATTCTAAAATTATAATTATTATATATTCCTATTTCAAAAAATTTATAAAAAAGATGCATGGGTTGTTCTAACCCAATGCGATGTTAGCAATTAGAATTTTTGTTCTAAGTCTCTGTACTAAACAATGTTTTATAAATGCGTCATGAACTTAATTTGAAATGTATATAATATGATATTAAAATAATTGGCATCCTATGAGTTGCTTTTTATCTTCTTTTTTTTCGTTTGGTATTATGGAAGAAAATGCAATTGGTCACACCTCATTTGTCTCTCCTCTTTAATTTGAGAGAGAGAGAGAGAGAGAGAGAGAGAGAGAGAGAGAGAGATCTGCTTTATGGGAAAGAAACGCTTTATTCGAGGCTAAGGGTACAGTCTTGGTTACCACAAAAGCAGATCCAAAACTCAGATTCCACAATCACTTTGCACACTGCCCCTCAATCATATATATATATATATATATATACATATATATATATATATATATATATATATATATACCCGCACACGCATATATACATTCAATAAAAATAATTTGCGTATCAACGAAAAGTTTCGGTTACAGTTTTTTTAAAATTATATAACTAAGTATAGTAATTTTAGCTTTACATTATGCTGCCGAAAAAAAGATCTTCCATTAAAAACTCGCTACTAAATCAGCTTGTTTATTTCTATTTGATAAAGAGACAAGGAAGGAATGGGTAACATGATTGAAATTATATATATATATATATATATATATATATATATATATATGTATATACCCGCACACATAAACATGATCAAACTAGTTTACTCTATCTATATGTGCATGCATATTGAATACGAGTTTCAATGTATAAACATCATAGTCCATGACATGAATAACATAGAGGTTTACATATATATCTCTCTTCTATATATATATATATATATATATATGCATATCCGTGTTTGATGGTGCTTTTTGACTCATAGATCTGCGTGCTGGTCTTACGTTAGAAGTTGTTACTGTCTCTAACGACAAAAGAATCCCATAAGTTCCTTTCATAACGGAAATGTGCATGGTTTTTAGTGGGTTTTTGGCGTTTCCCTTTGGACAATTGTACCTTCTTCTCCTTCTCTTCTTTTTTTCTCCAATCTTTATATCTTTGGATGTTTCTACTATATATATGCATGCATGCATGCATGCGTGAGTGTGTGTATATATATGCGCAACAACAAAAACAAAAACATTGTACCTTACAGCATCCCTGCTGATGATATATAGGTATAATTGCATAATCATTTATGTAGAAACATCCAATATACAAAGCAACAAAAGATTTAATAGCCCAATATATATCACACCCTTCCATGGCATGCATAACTTACCTAGATGTATATGTACGTGCACGTACACATGAATATTTTTTTTATGTATATAAATATGTTTGGAGAAATTTACCTACGCATACGTACATACATTACATAGATACACATACTACATAATGTTGTGAAACAAGGAGTGACAGAGCAGTGAAACTGTCTTAAATTCAATGCACTAATTACTGGGTTTAGACTTAGAATTAAATATATATATATATATGAGTATATGAGTATATGTGTGTATTATTCATAACAAAGCTCTATAAGACTAACCATATCTTAATAAACAAAATCGAATCGAATTTTAGGCAAGAATGAGAATAAGATCGTAATCTGAATAACCTGTAACCTGTAAAATTACGTCAGCTAAAATATTGTCCAAATCAAAGTTAGATGTCAAGGGGAAGACAAATTAAGGATGTAGATGATAAGTAGTATATAACCCAATGTTCTTCATGCTATATATCACGAATACTAATTAACCACAAGAGATGGACTGACGAGACAAAACACACACACACACACAAAGTTTCCTATATCTACTCTTTCAAAACATACTCCTATCTGATACAAACCCACCAAAAGTAGTGAAGAAAAAAAGAAGAAGAAGAAGGATACATAACCAACAGTACCGACATCGACTTTGATTGATTTCATGACAGTAACTGAGTCCCGATTGAAGCCCGAAAGCAATCTTCGCCATAGCTCGTGGCATTTGATCTCTCGGTATCTCGCCTCACTTGGTGACGTGATGTACAATCCAACCAACAAAAGAATCAAGAATGATTTTAGTCGAGCTCAGACCTCAAGGAAGCGTTTAGGGACCTTAAGACAGGTAATGGCTTGCAGAGTTGTTGGAAGCGAAACCGAGAAGATCGGTGTTCCAAGAATTGTTACTCCCGCCCCATGAAGAAGGGTATTGATCATTCGCCGAGTTTATGTTTATGTTCGCCAATAAGTTCCTCGACAAGTTATTCACTCCTTTATGATCGTTCTCTTCTGCCGTAACATTGTCTGATTGTGTGTCCCCGGCCGCTGCAGTCATATCCACCAACGGCTTATATCTTGTCTGATTCAAGTAATTACCTGTCTCTTCTTCGTCTTGATTAATGTCTTTGTTGCCTTCAAGCAATGGATACAACACACTTGAAGATTGATCCAACCCTGGCGTGTTGATCAAGAAAGGGAATTGCTGAATTTGTTGCAACGAAGGTCTCCACTGATCCAACGCCCCGCCACTTGAACTCCCCGTTATCGCGCTGTTTAGCTGAATTCCCCCCAAACCCAACTCGACGTTGCTTGTACAGTAGTCCCCGAGGCCTTGGAGAGGGGACAAGAAGGGCAAGTTCGAGCTTAAACCCGAGGTTTGACCAATGTTGAGAATCTTGCTAGGGTTTGAGTAACTTGTGTGGCGAGAAAAAGCCGAACTAGAGGAAGTACTAGCTTCTTGTTGATGGTGGTGGTGATGATCAGAGGCAACCATGACCTTTGATTTTGACCTCATGCCGCTCCCACCGTTCGATTTGCTCCTCTTGTTCCTCCTATACCCTCCGCCCACCGGCACGTTCCTCAGGGCACCGCCACGTGTCCAGTAACGGCGACAGGTCTTGCAGAAGTGGCGTGGCTGAGTGAGGCTGTAGTTGTTGAAGTAACAGAACTTGGTGTTTGTGGAATCGCATCTAGGGCACTTTAAAGCTGCTTCGGGCAATGGGATCTTGGCGAGCCGGGCTCGTTCCACCATCGAGCTCGGCCTCACGGTCTGGCCCGCGGTGGCGGCACCGCCGTCCACCACCTGAGGTGGTCGTGGAGCTGCGGCCGAGGGAACCGGCGGCGAAAAATGATTAGGGTTGTGACGATCGTTTGTGAATCCAAATGGTTGTTGGTTCCCATGCTGCATAACAAATTAATGGGTTATTTTAACGATAATTTAGTGGAAGTGGTTTGAACAAGAAAAGGTGAGAATCAGAAAAAGAGTTTGAAATGCTGTCGGAACCCCCCCAAAAAAAAAGAACGCAGATAAAAAGGAAAGGAATCGTAGCTTTATTGTTTTCTAGCAAGAAATTCAGAAGCAAGTACATAAGAATAAGAACTTGCAAAATTATTTCCAACATGGAAGAACAAAGAAGAGGAACGGTCAGAAAAAAACATCAAATGTTGGTTTACGAAAATAAAATGTAAACTAAGAAAAGGGTATTCACAAAAAAAATGCATTAATTTAGGATAAAATTATTTAAAAAATTAGATCGACTCCAGAAGATGATCATGTTTTTTTTTTCTGGGTATATTCGAGAAGACAAAAAAAAGGTGTCATCGATCGGCTTAGGAATATTTGCAAGCATATCTCTATATATAATCTTTCTCCGGTCGATTCTTTTGTGCAGAATATATAAGAAGAAGCTGTAACTAGCGATTTGATCAAAGGAAACAACACAAAAGAACTCAAGATTTATGTGCCATATACATATGATATATAGTTTGAAAATCATATCGGAGGAAATTTTTGTACGATGAATTAAGAAAAAAACGGTAACCTGTTGCCAGTTCGGTGGATCAAACTGATACACCGGAAGAGATGAGAAGACCATCTTCGAATTGTTTTTTTTTAATTAGCTTTAAATGCTTCAAAACTTTGGGATAAAGTGTTGATGGGTTTTTGAAGATATGGTGGAAGATCACATCGCAGAAGAAAGAAGATCGGTAGAGAAGGAGAGAGAGAGAGAGAGAGAGAGAGAGAGAGAGAGAGAGAGTTAGCCTATTTATTTATTTATTTGTCTCTTTTTTTTTTCTCTTCCACTTTTGATCTCTATACTTCTGTGTTTCTTCTTGTTTCTTTTTGTTTTGATTAAACCCTTCTTTCCTTTTTTTTCCTTTTATTTTTAACCTTTTTGGAATTAAGTATCAGCATCAATTTCATTTTAAGTTATTAATGTATATTTTTCCAAATTGTTCATGTTCTCATTTATGTCAAAATCACAAAATACAAGTAAGAGTTCGTAAGATCGATTTTTAATTCAAACAACTAGGGTTTGAGAGATAATAGTAAGATATATAAAATTTTAGAGTATGTCATGAGGATAACACCATAGAACTCCCCTATGTAGAAAACATCGTATAGATATATAAAAAAAAGATCGATTTAAAATTAATGCACATAATTTTAACCAAAAAAAATGAAAAGAACCTTTGGGATCTGAAATATTGTGTCATGCGCATATACATATATACAAACACGAATGTGCCTATGCATTAATCAATGAGGAATTACAAAAAACTAAGCTTGTATTGATTAATTTGCGAGTTGATATGTTATCTCTCCTTTTAATTTGGTCAATAGAGGAATAGTGTAGTTCATCCATACCGCATGCAATTTAATTATAATGCCTTGATAAATTCATAATGTAAAAATATATAATCCAATTTTTATCGAATAGTGATTAACGAGAAAAAGGAGAGTTTCCTTAGCATGTAAGCTTTTTTCCTTCTTTTGCATGTGTTTACAGTAGTTCCCGGAAAGAGATGTCAAGGAGCGAGTGGCCATGCAGAGAGAGAGACAGAAACCCTAGGGTACCCCAAGTAATTTAAAATATTAAAAGAAAAATGGTCGGAGAGAATATCATTATATATGAATTAAAAACAAAAAGATTTTTGAATAAATTTTATAAAAAAAAGTGAATTGGTAGTGGGGTGGTCTTTGGTGGAGCGGTCACAATCGACCGCACCTTTGATAGATTTCCATGGCTATGACCCAAATATCGTTTCTATTATTAAATTTTTTTTATTAACAGTTATCATTTTTAATTTAATTAGATGCAAAATAATTAAATTGCATTTCGCATGTGGACTGCTATTGAAGATTTGATTTTTCTTTCAGAAAGACTAAAACGACCCGACAACGTACAATTTCGTCACAAGGACATGTTTTGGCCTTGGGAGAAAAAGCCGGTCCAAGAATACAAATTTGATAACTTGTTAATTAAATAACATAAGCGGATAGGCCCACACGACCATGTAAGTAGATTTGGTTTCAATAGAAAAAGTAATTAGAATTGTTTAATTAAAACTTACAAAGGATTATATATATAACATTATATTATAATGGTGTATTATGTGTGATTCATTATCTCTGTCCTATTAGGATTTCCGTGAGTACTTGATTTCATATCCAAGGGATAAATTTTTACTGATTGTCCATTTAAATCTGTTGATTCGAATAAATCTAAAACGATCGAATAAATTAGTTCAAGGAATTCGTTATATTATAATGATATATATATATATATATATATATATATATACACATGCATATTTGTGTGTGTGTGGAGTTTTGATCATACCAGAAGGTAGAAATTGTACAATTTAATTTAGTGATTTTCCTGTCGTTTTAATTGTCTCTAAAATTACAATTTGTAATATATTTCACAAAACATATTATTATGTGTTCGATCATACAAAATTTTATACGAAGTTGTAACGAATAAATCATTGTTAGTACGGGTCTATCTATTGATCAATTAATAATTTACGTTTGGTCCACTAAGTTGTATGAAACTGTTGTACTAAGCTTTTTGTCTCATGAGATTGAGTGCCTACATGGTCTACACATTAGTTAGACCTAAGAAAAATTAGACAAATTTTATTTAGATAATTTATTTTTTATTAAAAAATATTATGAACAAAATGTTGTCGTATATACCTAGCTATCATTATATTATTAATATCTCTGTAGTTTATATACCTTATTTCATATATATATATATATATTTATATATTTATATATATTTAGGGTTTAGGGTTATATATATATATATATATATATATATATATATATATTGATTATATATATATATATTTGTTTGAATTTGTAGGAAATACTAATTAATGGGTCGACCGACTTCTGTTAGAATTTTGCTTTTGTAGGATCGTGAGGACTAAATTGAATAATATACCAAAAACCGCCTCTCATCATAATAAATATACATATGCAAGGACCAGCAGTTGAACTCTGTATATATATATACACACACACACATGGTAACAATGGTACGTATGACTTGCATCCATACTGCATTTTCTTACTTCTAAAACCACGAAGGATGGATCTAATATTTATGAACCTTAATGTTTTTGTTTTCGTCATAAACACACACATATATATACACTATATATTAGTGTTATCCTCGTCGATACACACACACACATATATATATGTATATATTGATGGGCTAGAGGTGCCCTAGAGTTTTGGCAAGGGCTAGAGGAAGTAGCATGGTTTTGCGGGAAAGTGAAACCAAATTCTAAACTCTACAGTAGGGGTGGTGGGGGTAACGGGGCCTGTCCTGTTCAGAGATGCTCACGGTCTGGTTGTTTTAGCTTTTCCCATTTTCCACGTCAGCATTTTCACTCATCGTTGCCCCACGGCTCTTTCTTTGTCGTTTTCTTGTCTCCTACGCGCATATAGAATTGTGTGTACTTGTATGGATACATGCAATTTAATCAATTATTAGATACTCCCTGACGTTTGTTTAACATTTAAACCCACAAATTAAGAAAAATAATGATTTATCCAAAATACCTTTATTTATTATATAGATAAATTTTATTGTTAAACATTATTAATTAAAGATAAATTTAAAAAATATTAAAAATTTTATAGAAAATTTGAAAAACGTTATTTATTTTGAAACAAAAATATTATTATAAGACGTTCTCTGATATAAAATGGAGGGAGTAGTATTTATCAAGGTCGCAAGAATTTTTTCACTACACATATTAGAAAAATTACGTATGTTCATGGAAAATGTTTCCGTTATTGACAAAACCGATGGAATTAAATCCCATTACATTTTTATTATAAAAATAATATATCCAAACGAAATAAAAATAAAGTTAGCACTTTTTTTAAAACTTGTGACATGAACACTAACACCACAAATACTAATGAAACTATAAATGAAGATTGTTTTCTAAGTGCAAATTGAAGAATGAAGACTTTAATAATAAATTAAACTGTGTGAAATATTGTCTCAAAGCGTAAATCATAGACATGTGATCAATTGCTTGTACCTAACTCTGCCGAAGAGCTTTGTAATTAATTAGCAAATAATATATCCAATTAATGGTTAGTAAATGCACATGAAATATAAATATATGTGCATCATACCAATAGTATTCATGATTTTATAGTTGTCTATTTCGGGCTAATCGATCTAATCAATATATTTTCTCGTGCAAAAAATAAATAAATAAAGACTACAATTAATATCTTAAATATTTAACATTCGTATCTTGCCAGGAAAAAAAGGGCGAAAATGTATATGATCACAAATCAAATCATGACGACTCGACGGGGACGTTTCTTTTTTCCTACGTGATTTTCATTGCAACACTAAACAATGGCTATGGCCAATATGAATAATAATATATACGTATATATATGTGTGGGGGGGGGGGGGTTTAGGGCGAAATAAAGGAAAATAAATTTGAATAAAAAATTAACATTTCCATTACCAAAAAAAAATAAACATTTGATTTTTTTTTTTTGGAGAGAGATAGAGACGTGTTTCAGGAAGGTGTCCCGATCCGCTATTCGGTAAAGAAGGTTTTGTGGTCCAAATACACTCAGACGTTTGCAGTTATACAATGTATGAGGGCATTCTTCATAATATGGGGCCATAGGCACGATCCACCAATGTCCATTTTTATCAATAACGAAAACTTTATTTTTTTATTAAAACAAGACCAAATAAAATAATTATTAAACAAGACTGAACATTAAAATAACATAGCACATAATTTAATTACCCGGTAAATATTGATATTAATAATAAAGAATAAAAGGAAAATATTGATATAAGGCGTCAAGGTTATTTTAGGTTTTTATTGTATTATTATTATTCGTGTTTGATAATAACTTAAATAATAAATTAAAGAACCGTCTTCAGAAGTGTGCATGTGTTCTTGTTCTTTCTATACTCATTTTTCATGCAACCAAAAGATCCCCTTCTTCTCTGTTACACATCTCACCATTTTCATGGGTTGTAAAGCAACCAGTCATCTGCAGCTTTTGCACATACACCCACATATATATATATATATATATATGAACGTCCATTATTATATATATATATATATATATATTGTAATAATTATAATAATCTTTTGGGATTTCTTTTGGCCAAGTCTATTATGAGATTGAATCATTGAAATCGTTCTCACGTGCTACTCTTGTATAGAAGAATCCTATAGTCCGATTCCAACGTGGGCATATACTACTAATTTTGTGAATTTATAAAGATAAAAGGCTGCATTATTTTTACTCATTATTACATTATATACGCTTAAGTAGGGGTGTCAATTAAGCCCGGAGCCCGAAACCCGACCGAACCCGCCCGAAAATTATAAGGACATGGGCCTAAAAAATGTAGGCTCATTAAACTTCGGGCTTTCGGGCCTCGGGCCAAATGGGCTACAGGCCGGTCGAATCGGGCCAGTCGGGTCTCGGGCCGGGCTTGAGGCCCGTTAACTTTTTTTGTTTTTTCTAACCTTCTTTTCTAAACTAAAGTTTTACCTCTCTATACTTATAATATACTTATAAATATGTGTGCCTATATATATATATATATATATATATATTTGAATCAAATATATATCTTGGTTCCAATTAAACTTTTTAAAGTGACGGAAGTTTTGAATTTCTTAACCATATTACATCATATATATATAAGTTTACATTTTAGAAAGGGTAGAAGTTTTCAAATATATATATTTTTAAACCTTTGTTTGTATATGAACATATTGATTTTTTTCTATAGGTTTTAAATTAATTACATCATAGAATTTTTTTTATATTATGTTTGTTATTTGCAAAAAAATATTTTTATTTAGTAAAAAACCCGAAGCCCGGCCCGAACCCGCCCGAAGCCCTGTAGGGCCGGGCTCCGGGCCATCGATTCTAGACCCGAAAAATAAATGGGCGGGCCGGCCCGACCCGAAAAATTATAGGCCCGAATTGAACCAGACCCGAACCCGGCCCGACCCGCCCATTTTACACCCCTACGCTTAAGTATGTGTATTATATATTCTATTATTCTTGTAGGTCGTTTGATCCTTTATTTATTTTTTTATTAATAAAGAGATTGCTAGATAACAGGGAAAATTTAAAAGCTTAAACGTATACCACAAATAGATTTTAGTTTATGGTTAGCAAAAAAAATAAATTATAACAACAGTTTTTAACTAATTAAACGAACTTTAATTTATCCGAAATATTTGACCAGATTTGAAATTGAATTCACCTTTTTCCCTAAAAGTAATTACTGCCCTTTTGAATGATTAAGAGGAATCAAATTTGAAATTTGAAAGTAAACAATTATCCGTAGGCTAGTACAGTGATAACAATTTATATTTATTTTTATTTAGAATATATATATATATATATATATATATATATGTATACTTTTATTCTATAAATAGTATTAAATTCTAAGTTTGATTCATACAAATATTTCTTAACACCAACAAGGGGTGGTCGAGTGGTCAACTTGATGGTGCAAAACATCTGAAGGTCGGATCTTCGATTTTTTTTGGTGGGAATGAATATAATTTCTGGATCAATTAAGACCCATATACAAAAAGTGCACTCAAAGAATAACAGTTATGATTTCTGCGTTATATAAAAAAATTCTTAACACATTACCAAATCAGATATGTAATTAATTCATATGATCTTTTTGTAGAGGTTGAAATGATCTCCATAGATGTCTAGATTATCTTCTACCGAACATGGAAAATAACAAAAAAAAGATGTAAACAAAAAGTAATATCTATTAATTTGAGGAATAAAAATAAAAAGAAAAAATAAGGATGAAAAATAATGAGTTTTCAAAATGGGAGGCCAAGGCCACCTCCATCATCAACCTAAAAGGATATCATGGATTGTGTAACTACCAATAAAAAAATATCATACTAACTCAATACAATTGACACCATTGGAGCTTAATTATACAAATTAATTTATATAAATTAATAAAAGATTAGTATTAAATTGATAAGTGTATCCAATAAAATCAAATTAATATCTTCTAGACCCGTGTAATTAGTATCTCCATAATAAATTATTCTAGATACGTACAATTTGTAATTATCTCCTACTTTAGGCGCCATGCCATGGTGTGTATATATATATATATAATAGAAGGAATTAATTTGATTTTATTACAGAGTGTCTATATATATATAATCAATATCGCTTTTTATTTGTATATAAGTTAATTTAAATAATCAAAATTAATATTAGTATCGTCATTCAAAGTTATTAACACAGATCCGTTAATCTGTATGAATTTGTAAAATGGATAGTATACAATATAAATTCTCAATTTCATGGTAAGATATGAACATATAATTTTACAGGGATAATTGATTTTATGTTTTATTTATTGTGTGAATGGGAAACGCAATTACGAGACAATGCAAATGCCATGGCAAGTAAAGATGTGGCTCGCTAGTAGCTAGCGAGGAGATGTTTACGCTAAAACCAACAACGCACCGTTTTGAATTTCTCCAATGGAACTTCATGTCGTTTCGTTAAGCAACCGAATTTGCTTTGTGGAAAAGCAAAGGCGTGGAAGTGGGATTCGACGGGACAGACTCTCCGCGACTGACTGGTCTCTGACTCTCTGAGATCGAGATTCCCATATCGATCCCAGAGACGCGGAAGAGGCGATCTCGGTGACCGCCATGGACGGAGGAGCAAGAGATTGGGAGCGCTCGGAGGTGCAAGACGACAACAACGCAGATGAAGAAGAGGAGGAGGAGGAGGAAGAAGAAGAAGATTCGTCGCTGGGGCTGGTGATGCCGCTGTCCCCGGACGTTTTCGAGAAGGATCGACACGTGATGTTCCTGGAGATGATGTACGAGTTGCTTCCTTACCATTACCAATCGCAGGAGATCAATCGCCTTACGCTCGCTCATTTCGTTATCTCCGGCCTCCGCTTCCTCGGCGCGATAGACCGTGTATGTCTCTGTCTCTGTCGCAATCTCTGTTTTTGGACGATTGAATTATGAACTCCAGCTGAATTCTAGGTTCGAGGTCACATTTTCCGAGTTCTTATTGTGTGGGTTTTGCTGATTGCGGTTGCCTAGCTTCGGTGATACCAACTACTTAGTAGAATTATCTCTTTATATAGTACGAATTCGATAGAATTTCGTTATTTTTATTCGATTCATCCCGAATTTTTCTGGTGCTTTAGGTTGATAAAGATGTAGTTGCAAGTTGGGTTCTGTCCTTCCAGGCGCGCCCTGGTTATAGCGCTGCCCCAGACAATGGTATACCCTCGACTCGAGTTTATGGTTTATTAAGAAATCTGTGATTGCTTTTGTTTGTCTTCTTCGTATAATTATGAGCTTATACGGACCTGCGTGGTGGTGGATAGATGTGTTTTGTTCCTGTATCTCTGGTGGTGAGGCATTGATATTCTCTGGTTGCTTGAGTTTCTACTAAGTTGCAGTGAATCAGAAGCGAGGGATTTGATAATGAGATGTTCTTTTGTCTGCAGGACAATTATATGGTTTCCATGGTTCTCGGAGTTCTCAGTTTCCTGTGGATAAAAATGGGGTATAAGAAATTTATTCCGTACCTTGATTGTTGGTAAGTTTTCCTCTGAGCATCCTTGTTTTGCTTATGTAGCATTTCTGTTTGATCTCTGCGCAGGTATTGACTCACAATGGCAGTCACCTCGCAAGCACGTACTGTGCCTTGGCAATACTGAAGAACATTGGCCATGATTTCTCGAACTTCGACTCTGAGTCATTGTTGTTGTCTATGAGAAATCTCCAACAGCCTGATGGCAGGTATGTTTCAGAGCTTATGACATGCTGTGAAGTTGCAGTTTTTTGCTCAGACCTACCGTTTTTTGGTTCCCGTTTTCCTTGTTTGCTCTTGAATAGCTTCGGATAAATCTTTTATTAGACCCTGAGCTTTGTTTGCCATGCCCCTTTTTAAACGTATGCATATCACTTCAAGTTGTCATGCTTCATGTTTAGATAATGAAGATGAAATGGGATCTTGGTCGAGGTATGATACTTTCTTCTTTATGCTACAGTTTTATGCCCATTCATATTGGAGGGGAGATGGATCTTCGGTTTGTCTATTGTGCTGGTAAGAAATGACTACTTGACAAGATTTACAAAGATGTTGATGATTGTGTTACACTTCGTAGAGTGTGAATCTAGTGTATTTGTTGATCAGCCGCCATCTGCTACATGCTGGATGATTGGAGAGGAATGGACAGAGAGAAGGCTAAAAACTACATATTAAACTGCCAGGTCTATGTCTCTTTTGTGGAAGTTGCTATGTCATCTCTCTCACTTAAAGGATATATACTTGAATTGACTTTTGAGTGTGTTCATGCGTGTATGTTCAACATTCCTCTTGCAGTCATATGATGGTGGCTTCGGGTTGGTTCCAGGCTCGGAATCTCATGGTGAGCTGTTGATAGATAATGTGTGTCTTTTGCACTACAATTTTCCGTGTTGGAGTTGGACTAAGTTGAACATTTTTATGCAAAATTTCAAACCGGATTAGTAGCCAAGAACTCTATGAATAACTGAGTTGCCCTTTTTTATCGGGGCTGTGGCTTTTACCCCTATTCACCAAATAGGATATGAATAGATTGGTAGTGCTTTATATCATCTGGTATTACTTTTCTTTTGATATATTCTTTGATGATGCTTAACTACGGTTTGCTACTTAGTTACACAGGTGGTGGTACTTACTGTGCTATCGCATCCCTCCGATTGATGGGGTTCATTGAGGATGATCTCCTATCAAATAATACATCATGTTCAATCATAGACCCTTCTATGCTTCTCAACTGGTGCCTACAGGTTTCTTCCTTAAATTTTATTCAGAGATTCATTTCTGCCGACAAACTGTTGGTTCTCATGTTGAATCATGAACTTGCCTAGTCTAGTCTTATGATGCTCCTGAGTGATATCATGGTTTATTTATGAACTTTGAAGATAGAAATTTATTCAGCTGCTTCACTTCTCTATGATTCTTACGTTCTCTGTTTTCGTCCTGCAGAGACAAGCGAGTGATGGTGGATTTCAGGGTAGGCCTAACAAGCCAAGTGATACGTGTTACGCGTTTTGGTATCCCTCTCATCCTTTGCGGATTTGTGAATACAGCTCTGATTATTCGCAACTGATACAGATGTTGCATCCGTGTAGGATTGGAGCAGTCCTGAAACTTTTAGGGGCTTCTGAGTTAATCGACGAAAACTCTCTGCGGGGGTTTTTACTGACCTGCCAATACAAGGTTCCTCCTCACCTTCTTCATCCCACTTCACTCTGTTGCATTGAATATCACATGATCGTAAACGCAATAATATAATAAGGTTTTTGTAGCACAGGGCAGTTAGGATTACGGGTGCAAATTTTGTTTCAAACCCTGTTTAGAATGACTTGATCAGTAGATTAATGGGGTTCATTGCTAATATTCTCAAGTTCTAACACTAGTTTTCGTGTGTCGCTGCACCAGTATGGCGGTTTCAGTAAATTTCCTAGAGAATTGCCGGATCTATACCATTCGTATTACGGGTATACAGCCTTCGCCCTCTTGGAAGAACCAAGCCTCAATCCTCTGTGCCCCGAGCTAGGTATACCCTCGGGTATCTGACTCATTCGAGTAGCACTTTCCACATCGATATAACGGATTGATTCAAGTCTCAAGTATATTCCCACTTTGCGCGTTTTGCACATTAATATCACTGAGATTGCAATTCTTCTCCTCGTGTTTTTTTTTCTTTCTTCTGGTGCATGCTTAAGATGGGAAGGTTAAGAACGTACCATTTGCACGGACCCTTGTAGAACCCTCGACCGTATCCGGTCACTGATCTTCTCTTATAGTTATAGTTGATGGATTTCAAGTCCGAGCTTGCATCTCGTTGCTTTTTTTTTTTTTAATTTCTTGAAGATGTTTAGTTTGGATCTTAGTGGTTACGTGATGAATGGGAGTATTAGATCAGATTTCGGTTTTTATATACATAATTTCAAACGGCTTATCAAACTAAATTAACTAAACGACTGAAAACTTCAACTCCTTTATAAATTCGCGATTTTTCCGTACAATTGATTTGATGCCATTCGGACAACGTGGCTAGGTATAAAGTTTGGTTCGTTTTGTCGTGTTGAAGTATATTGATTTTAACCAAAACCCTATGATACGAGTCCTCCATCTGGCTCAGAGGCTTCATAGAAATGGGCCAAAATTTCCCCAATTTCAACATGGGCCAACAATGTCCAGATATAGGGTAAGTTGAAAACTAGGGTTTCTACGTTTTCTTGCTCCATTGAAAACCCTAGTTTCCGAAATCTCGCTTCAGAGTCTCTGGTTCTGCCTCTGCCGAGATCTCCCTCCTCCCAGTCTCTTACTCTCTTGCCCGCGATAGGTGAGTTTCATGAGGAATTTATCAGCCGTAGTTCTCTGATGTCCGCTGAATTCTCTTACCTTTTGTGTTTGGGATCTCGAAGAAATTTTCGTTTGGATTTTTCACCTGATATCGTTGTCGCATTCCCGAAATATATATTCTTCTTCCTGGGAAATAAGACGGCACATTGTTTATTTCCGGTTTGATTCTTAGTTCAGATTCAATTTCGAATTTCTTGCTGTCGTAACTGAGGTGCGTTCCCCTATTGTTACACGTATTGTAGTTCCAACCTTTTCACGTGCCAAAGGTCTTAACATTTTTTTCTGGTTTAGTATTCCGCTGAGAAATCTTGTTCTTAGAGAACGAGCAAGCTTTTTCACTTTTTAAGTGTTTTAGATTCCAAAATAAATGCCGATGCACTGAAGTTATAGATTAGTCATGTTTCATGATGCCATAGCATTGTTTACCCTTTGCTATTTGGCGATAAATCGACTGAATGAGCTATTAGTTGGCATGAATTTCGATATAATGTCTTGTCGATTTCAGGATTACTGTGCGGAGGCAACAATGGTGAGGATCAGCGTCCTGAACGATGCTCTTAAGAGCATGTACAACGCGGAGAAGCGAGGGAAGCGTCAAGTCATGATCAGACCTTCTTCCAAAGTTATTATCAAGTTCCTCATTGTGATGCAGAAGCACGGTACGTGTCCGATATGTTGGCCTCTGGGTTTTGCGTTATGATGTTAGTAATAGTATACCTTCTAAGAAAAATCTATCCTTTTCATAGGTTACATCGGCGAGTTTGAATACGTCGATGACCACAGAGCCGGGAAGATTGTTGTTGAGCTAAATGGAAGGCTTAACAAGTGCGGTGTTATCAGTCCCCGTTTCGATGTGGGAGTGAAAGAAATTGAAGGATGGACTGCCAGATTACTTCCATCAAGACAGGTATGAAAGATTATGATTCTCCATCAAATTTAAACTGCAGTTACATGCTCATAGTGGGATGACTCTGCTGTCATTTTGGAATATGATCCAGTCTGATGATATTTTAGCAGTTGTCGCGCTTTCTGTCGCGTTTATTGAATCTCCCCCCGGCCTAACTTGGCAGTATTTGGGTTTGTGCAGTTTGGATACATCGTCTTGACAACCTCAGCAGGCATCATGGATCACGAAGAGGCTAGGAGGAAAAATGTAGGTGGTAAAGTGCTGGGTTTCTTCTACTAGGCTTTTATCACGTCTCCTCATAGAATCAAGATTTTTTTTCCTTGTTTTCTGGCTGAGTTTTGTAATGTGTTTCGGATCTTGTTCGTTATAGATTCATTTTGATGCTTTTGTTTCAACTCGTTTAAAACATGCTTGTTTTTCACTTGGGCCAAGAAAATTATGTCAAGGAGTTAATGATTGACCTTGTCAGCTTGTTGTCTTGCTTTGTTCTAGACAACTATCTCAATGTGCAGAAGAAATCTAAGCTTGACAGAGATTTTGCCTTGTGTTGCTGCCTGCTGTTTCAGACATTGTAGCAGCTTGTCGAAGAGTTTGAGAAATGTACTTGTAAAAGCCATGTCAAATATCCCAACCCGAACTGATAAACGCTTGAGAAAGACATCATCAGCAGCTTCTAACCAATAAAATCATCAGGAAATCCAAACAAGATACGTATCTAATATAACCTATGACTGCTAAAACCCAGCATCTGACATTTCATCTGTTTTATTATTCTCCCCCCAACAACAACACGGTTGGCTCTACTTTGGGATATGAGCTGTCTAAACATAGTATGGTGTCTCAGGCATGGATCTTCCATATGCCGGTTCTGTATCCTGCGGACATCAATCCGAGCTCCCACAGCATGTTGGGAATGCTCAACAGATTCACTTTCGACCCGGGAATTTCAGACCAGTTTACAGAGACCTCGATCACTGAGATGTTGAAACGCTTGCACAAGAACACCAGCTCAACATCAAAACACCACCTGCGAGTTGATTAATCCATCAGCGCAAGATTCTTTTGCATGGAATTATGATGCTCCTACAGTCACTACCACCAGCAAGATTATACCTTTTGAGACGAATGTTTGTGAAAAGTTTCCTGGCAGCAGCCCTAGTAAACATCTTGAAACCGCACTGAGAAAATGTTTGAACCGGGAAAAGGCAACACGTTTCAATGGAGACGCAGGAACTATATATATGCTACAGAAGAAGAAACATAAATGGGAGAAATTCACCTGTGTATCCCGAATTCCAGGACCAGCAGCCAACAGAACCACAAGATGGAAACCCTTCATCAAAAAGTTCCGGTACCATTTCCTCTAAAAAAACACACAACTTGATCAAGAGAGAAATGTAAAATACAATAATTTTTTATTAATATTTATAAACAGACAGAACAGAGCATAGAGAACAGAACAGATGTGAACAAAACTTAACTGTGGCGAGAGCTTTCTCCTCAAGATGAGCACGAGAGCCAAATGCAGACACTGGGATATCACTTATCCTAAAATCGATATCCTTGGAGGCTGAGTCTCCCACGGAATTTTCTTTTCTGGCTACTGCATGGATCTGAGAATCTAAAGATCAGGTAATATGAAACACAATTTTCAAGGTCGTATGATATTTTGATGGCCAAAACTTGAACAAACCTGGTTTTCAAGTTTTTCAAGGTCTGTTATTTTGGTAGCTCCATCAGCATCCAGCATCAGAAGTAATTCACCACGCGAATGCAGCATTCCCTGTTTAAAACATGCTTTCAAACAAGTAGAAGACTCCAATCAATTATTTTCTAGAATGAAAAGGGAAGAGAAAACATGTTTCTTCAACTGGCTGAAAACAAGAGTGAAGAAGAAACATTAGCCTCCTAACCAAGGCAGGACTCACTTTTCTTATAGCTTCTCCTTTTCCTTGATTTTTTCCAAGGGGTATAACCCTTATATTGTCAACTGAGTGCTTCCTCACAAAATCAAAAGCTACTCTTTTTGTTCCGTCAACACTTCCATCATCAACAATCAACACCTATAAGGCGTAGAAAATAAAAAGAAAAGAAAAATGAAACCTACAGGAAATCAGAAATAACGCCGATAAAGATGAAAAGAGTGATTCAAATGAGAACATAACCACTCTAATAATTGCAAAACTCAAACAAAGAGATAGAGGACATCTTTTTTACAGTTTATAATAGAAGCTCATTGCCATAATAACATCCTGTGAGGTGAAACATAAATATTGAAATGCGAGATGGCATATCCCGAAAGTAAGATTGCCAAAACAAAATGGACAAAAGATATTAAGAGTTGTTCATCCATACTCCACAGAGGAAGATCACATATAGGAAGAGGATCTAGATTTTATCAAATTGGAAGGCAAAAGAAAACAGTGGTAAAGCATGGTACCTCATAAGAAAAACTCTTGTCCCTTGCGGCACGATCTTGCAGGTAACTAAAAGGAACAGACAAGATTATAGTTATGCCTTTGTAGCATCCTGGTTATCCCTTTTCGAATTTGCGGATGATGCAAAATCATTTCGAAGAAACCTCAGGCTCGACCATCAAAAGACATTAATTTCAGAGGTAGTAACAGCTATAACGAAACTTACTTCATTGTTTCTTCAAGAGCTGCAGGAAGTCTTTGCTCTTCATTAAATGCGGGAACTATCAAGGACAAATACTTTTCGGCGGGATCAGAAATATGAGGGCAAGGAACCTGTTGAAGAAAATCTGATCAGAAGAACCCAGAAAGTGAATAGAATTTTCAATCCATTATACTAATATCTTAAAGCTAGTCAGATTCGTTGAAATCAAATGCCCCTAATCGTTTGTAAATGGAACATTCACAACCTGAAGTAGAAGCCAACAAGTCCATTTCTGTTTCCGGATCACCCACTAATCTAAAAGTGTGAACCATTCTGGACATGAAGTATTGCCATCAACCTAATCTCCACTCTGCCACCATCGGCTCATTCTAACATTGGGCCAATCATCTTTGCCTAGCCTTTTATCCTCACACAAATTCAACATTGCTATTTGGAAACTACTAAAGCAATCTAAGACCGTTCAAAATCCGATTTGAAACGCCCCATGAAACTCAGCTTTACAAATCTGAGCAAACAAACTTCGTTTTACAAGAGGTTGAAAGTGAAGTTTGCAACAAAATCTCAAGCGGATTTAGTTGGTTAAATCAACTCCTTCGTATTATCTCAAAGCTCCTGGCTTTCTCGTTCTGAGGAAACACTGATCAATATTCCAAATCTCCAATTCAGGTGAGCTAAAATTTCCTGAGAAATCGCATCTCCATCTACACTAACAACTGGCATTCAAGTACATTGCTCTTCCCAGCATTTAAAAAGGAATCCTCCTCTTTCCTTCTAGCATTTTCCAGGAAAACAAACGTGCCCCAGAAAAATAAAATGAAAATTCGCCCAAAAAGCAAACACATTTACCTGTTTCAACGACTTTGGATCCTCGAATGCGACCGGGGTTTCGGCGTTACTGGGAAAGTGTTTTATAATGAAAATACCAAGAGCTCTGGCCCAATTAATCTCCTAATCTCGAAATGATTATACAAAAAATCATATAAATACTCTCGAAAAGAATTAAACCGAGTTACCTCGAAACGATAGAACAGAAATAGTAAAAAAAAAACATACGTATTATCAGAAAAAAAAAAGCGAAGCTCACTCATGAGTAAGCGAACTTCTATTCGACATGATTAAACTGTAACAAGTCAAGAGCAAAGAGATTCAGCAGTCAGTGGACGTGTAATGTTTACTCGTATTCGTATACTTTCTTTTTCCTTGGTATAAAACCTACCATCATTCCGTATCAACCTGTATCGTTGAAAAGAGTTCAATACAAACAACCAATTAGCTTCCCAGAAAATCGGAAACAAACAGAGATCAAGACAAAGAAATCAAACGAAATGTGAATTTCCCGAAACAGATCAAACGTACACGTTACTGTCTCTTCTTCTCCAGGCTTCGAAGACGATGGCGGAGAGAAATCCCAACAAGATGAGCAAAGCGAACGAGAGCCCGAGCTCCGCGACAGTCGACAAGAACTCCATTTTCGCTTCCAGGATTTTGGATCCGCTTCCGCTTCGAAGGGGAGAGAGAGCTGAAGAGAAATCGAAGTTAACCGTGAAGAATAAGCAAAGGAAGCTAAGGATCTGCAATTGTCGCTGTTTCAAACCCTAATTGTTTTCTTTTCCAAGGAGAGATATAAATTCACAATGCCTCCAAGGTCGAAGAATAAAATTATGGATAAGAAACACAAACATAAAATAGTTCTTAAATTATTAATTAAAACTCGATGTGTCAAAAAATAACGAAAATAATTATAGACAATTGCTTGATTTAATAAATCGGGATTAGAGGAATTCTCGCTTCTTCAAATACCCAAAAATCGGTCCATCTTTATTTAATATTATGCCTATCGAATGCTTACGGTTTCGTTTTGGTTCGATTTATATATTCTGGTTCGGTTACTAGGTTTCTGAAAAAAAAAATTAATATTGGAAATTTGGATTCGATTCTGTTTACAATTTTTATTGATAAAATAATCATTTTTTAAAATATATTTTTCGTTTTAGTTTTTTTTATATATATATATATATAATATAGCAGCCAAAGTAAATAGTAAATGCAGTCGCAGAGATTTTGGTAAAATACCTGATTCTTCTATTTAACTAAAATAATACAGTCTTTTGTAATATCATATAATTAATTATATTTATCAAGATATACATTTTTTAAAAAGCTTGAGGCATCTTTTTACATAATATATTGCTTTTAAGAAAGTAAAAATGTGGACCATTCATTCATTATTTCATTATATAATTCTTTAAAAACATTGCTTTTATGTATGCATTCGTTACCTGTCATGTATGTGCGAGACATCATGGTATCATCACATAAAGCCTTCCCACCGTCACATAGTAAAAGCAGCGGTACTATCATTAGCTGCACAACCACATTTAAAAAAAAACTAAATCTTTTTTTTATAGATTATCATTTATTACTATTTTTTTTACTCAGCAATAAATTAAATAATTTCATAAGAAACATTTGGGATTGCATGTAATGTTTTGACATCGTAATACTCTGATATAATTATGAAACTACAAAATTATTCGAGATTTGATATATAGTATAATGAAAAATAATATAGCTAAAGTATATACTTATGTACATTTGCTCTTATTTTATAAGATATACACTAAAAAAAAACAATTTAAATTAACATAAACATCTGAGGGGAAGAGAGAAAGACCAAACTCGAAAACAAAAAAACCCCATGGAAGAGAGAGAGAAGAAGAAGAAGAAGAACACCATGAACAAGAAGCAGAAACACAACCATTACCAGACAAAGCCCACTTCGGACATCTCCTTCAAACCTTACTCCGACGTGAAGGGCCTCAGATTCGGCGGTCAAATCATCGTCAACTCCTTCACAATCCGACGGGCTCCATCCCTCGAGCTCCTGAAACTCCTCTCTCTCCATCCTCCTCCGACAAACAAAACCCTTCAAATCTCGCCGGAGCTCCTGTCCGTGACGGCGTATATTCCGACAAACTTCACGATCCTGGCCCACCACGCGTGGCACACGCTGACCCTCGGCCTCGGAACTCGGAAGTCGAAGGTTGTCGTGTTCGTGTTCGAGTCGGAGACGATGAAGAAGGCGGTGGAATTGACCTGGCAGCCGGAGATTCCACTCGGAAACGTGAACAAGAAGATGATAAGAGGGCTTAAGGGCTGCGAGATGGCGAGGTTCAAGTTCCGGAAAGGGTGTGTCACGTTCTACGTGTACGGTGTACGGAACGCCGGAAACAATGGCTTCGCCGCCGCGGAGGACTTAAAGGTAATTTTGCAGTCGGTGGTTGCTCTCAACGACTTTTTGGATCACACTGCTATGTTGGCCTTGCCCCACCAACGATGCCTTCAATACAACTCTTGCCCTCGCTCACTAATTGCATAATTAATCCTTTTTTTCCCCATTTAAAAAAAAAATCTGAAAACAAACTACCTAGTTATTCATCATTTTTTTAAACATTGTATGAATTCGTGATATTGGGGGTTGTTTTTTGTTTAATGGATCGCTTCACTCCTTTGATTTTATTATAATGTTTTATAATGAAAATACCAAGAGCTCTGGCCCAATTAATCTCCTAATCTCGAAATGATTATACAAAAAATCATATAAATACTCTCGAAAAGAATTAAACCGAGTTACCTCGAAACGATAGAACAGAAATAGTAAAAAAAAAACATACGTATTATCAGAAAAAAAAAAGCGAAGCTCACTCATGAGTAAGCGAACTTCTATTCGACATGATTAAACTGTAACAAGTCAAGAGCAAAGAGATTCAGCAGTCAGTGGACGTGTAATGTTTACTCGTATTCGTATACTTTCTTTTTCCTTGGTATAAAACCTACCATCATTCCGTATCAACCTGTATCGTTGATTCCCGATCATAACAAGCCGCCAAAATTACACTCAGGAGCAAAAATTCTGCCCAGAAATCTCCGTCTGTACAACCTCAGTTACCTCGTCGTCGCCCCGTGTGATTTCTCGTCCTCTCGGGTTTCATCCTCCATCCGCTTTTACCACTGCTCATTATAGGCTTGGCCAATCTCTCGCCCTCTCGTTCGGATTGGAGAGCCAGCTGAAGCCTCTTCAGATTCTCGGCGCACTGTTTGTGCAAACCCTCGGAGAACATCTCAGGGCCATCTAAGTCGATCGGCCCGAGGTGCCTTTTGTACGGCGAGTGCCATTTCGATTGCAAGTAATGGAGGGATCTCCACGGGGGCAAAGGCATCGAGTTCTGCTTTAAAGAGTATTTGGCTGCTTCCACCATGACCTGGAGGAACTGCTTTAGTTTAGTTACAGTGCCAACGTAAACCACGGGCAATGAATCCATTACTTTGTGGTAAGAATCCACGGCTCGGGCTATTTCAAAGTGGCTTCTGAAATCCGTGTCAACAATCAGACGTTTGTCCTGACCAACACCGGTGTCTGTCAAAATTACATCTATGTATTCATGGTCCCCTGCATTTTTTGTACAAGTACACAATCAATATCGAAAAAAATTGTTTAAAGATGCCAACTGTTCCGAACTTTTAACGTTTGATAAAGGTTTCAGATTCAAAATGCGATATTCTCTCGCGAATTCGTACGTACTATAGTATATAATAGTGCGATCAGCGCTAAACCTACCGCCAGGAACCTTGCCGCTCAGTTGCCATCTCGCTGAGCAAACAGCAGCATTGTAACCGGCAAGTCTTAGGAGCTTCGCAAGATAAAACCTGATGCAGCTGGCATTGCAAGTACCGGACTTTACAGAGTGGAGATCCTTCTCCCTTATAGCAAACATCTGGGAGCTAACTGCTGACAGAACGTCAGCCTCATACGGAGCCATGGAGTTCTTGAGAAACTGCGTTTACAACAGCAGATTATATACAATCAATAACAGTAACAGTGACTCTTCCTTGCCTAATATAGATATTTGATTTCCAGAAACATTCCCAGAGAACTATCATGGCGAGGCCTATTCCCACGGAGATTCTATCCTGAAAATTTCCACTGTTTGATGCAAACCAATCCCTAAATCCGACAGAAAGACAAACAATTGAACTCGTGACGGTACCTGAATCTTATCCGAAAGGGAAGAAAGATCCGGACACCCTGAATCGCTGTCGCTGCTGCACCACGAGTCCCCTCCGCCGCTTCCACCGCCCGTCTCAAGAAAATCCCTAACCATTAGCCCCAAATCATGCTCGCCGTCGTGGCTGAAACCACCTCCTCCTCCGCCGCCGCTCCCTCGGCCCCATCCACGTTCCCCCGCCGTCATCACCCTCAAATCCATCCCCATCGTCCCACACAACCCTCCAATCACCGCCTCGACCGAATTCTCTCGCGATCAAACCAACCAACACACGCGAACGGATCAAGAGAATTTGAAATTTACCCCGAATTAGGCGATACTGCGGGTTCCTGAGGGATTCGTGTTCACGATTACGGATCGAATTTGACGGTCCCGCGAGGAATTGCGTGTCTCCTCACCAAACCGAAATGAGACTGTGTATGTGTGTATATATATATACGGAGATACGGGAGGTTCTGGCAAGAGAAAAAAATTACAGAATAAAAGAACGGAGGAAGATGAGGCGAAGGTGGGAGGTAAATACGATAATTAAAAGGACGATAACGCCCTCAACGTAATTACGCTTATTATTTATCTCGTTTTTAGATAAAATCCTAACCAATTGGATAAAAACGGAAAACAACGAACAAGAACACGATGAATCTGGACGAAACTCGGGTTAACATTCGTTAGCAATTATTTTACCCGAAAACTAATATAGCATGGTTGTTTTTCACACAGAAACTTCTAAAAGGGTAAAAGGGTAATTTAAAATTGTGGTGGAGCGGACAATAGAGACGAAATTAAACGTTTGGCTTGGGGACGAAGTCACGAGGCCGCTCCATCAGATATCATACGAATAACTTTGGACGATGACGTGGACGACTTTAATGCAAAAATTAATCATTTCTTTTATATCCTTTAGATTTTCCTCGTTATTATATTATTGTATTATAGTTCGGTCCATCTTAAAAAAACTAACAAGATAATGCGATTCCGTCCATTAAATCCAAAACTAACCTCTACTTTTTATTTATATAGATTTGGTAGTTAATTAAATCTAAACGGAGATGGAAGCCGCCGAAAATTAAGATGAGACCGAACAACCAAGCAAAAGAAGATTTTGTACGAAATCGAAACGGAGATGAAAGCCGCCGAGAAAGGAGCAGCCAAACGACTCAATATGGATATAACAATATCCACTAGGTTGAAACCCTTAGATTTAATAAGGTGGCGAAAAAACTCTATTGTTTTAATTTTTAAAATATTTATCTAATAATGTAAAATTTAATAAAATATCTATATTAATTCGGAATTAATTAAATTAAATGGCATTTTTTTCTTTAAATAATCAACTACAAAAAAGGAAGACACATCTCGTGAACAAAAGATATTATGTTAATGCTGTACCTATCTGGGCTAAAACATAACGGGAATTTGGGGCCCAAATCCAAATATAAACGGGCCTTGGGCTTTTTTATAGATTTGCATTATATTTTAATCATTACCACGCGCATCCGCACCCGGCACATCACACACAAACCTTAGGCTACCACACGTCATAAAAATATATCCTCCGCTCTCTGCATTTACATTGTTACCCTTCACTTTCTCAATACTCTCAGGGAATATTCCCCCAAATCATGGATAAATAAGTCATTTCGTATTTCCACTCAGATCAATTTAAATATGGAATATTATATATAACGATGTAAATATTATTTTTATATATATATATATGTATGTGGTGGCTCCCAGGGTAACAGAAGGAAGCAGCGGCTATTGTCCACTCGATCGTTTTGCTCTGCAGCGCTCTTCCTGCGGCTCCCTAGAGATTTATCTCGTTTGATCGTTCGTCTGGAAGCATGGGGAGGAAGTTTTTCGTCGGTGGCAACTGGAAATGCGTACGAGATCTTTCGTATTCTTGTTTTTTCGTTGGCGTCATCTTCCTCCTTCTCTTGATCCACGATTGATCTGTTTGTTTCCCGAGGAAATCGAGTGAAGATGCGAAGAAATTGGCTATTCCGAATCGGAGCTTAATCTTGTTTGGTTTTGTCTAAAGTTTGTTTAGATTCGCGACCTTTCTAGATCCATTTTCTCTTAGTTTCCTGAAAACTGGTCTGGATCGATCGCTTCGATGATAGATCTCATACTGTCCTCTTTTTTTGGATTTGAAATATCTTTGATGCTTTCGATCTTATGCTATGATTCGCATTATTAGCGGATAATATGTGCATGGACAAGGATTTCTTCAGTATGTATGATGGATTTTGTTGCGGCTAACATTTGGATCACGTTCTTGTTCGTGAGAGAAGTATGTTTGTTCGATGCGTTGAATTCTTGTGTATTGTTCTGAATCTTATATTTCGATGTAGAACGGCACTACCGAGGAGGTGAAGAAGATCGTGAACACACTTAATGAGGCTCAGGTGCCATCGCAGGATGTTGTGGGTAAGTCGAGCTCCCTTATTGCTTTGACGGGAATGTGAATATTCTTTCTCATTTCCGGACGTTCATCACAGATTCAGACATGATATGGTGTTAGGTAACTGTCATTGTGATCAATTTACTGACTTGGTATTAATTTGGTTGCTACAGAGGTTGTGGTTAGCCCTCCATTTGTGTTTCTTCCTGCGGTGAAGAGCATATTGAGGCCCGACTTTCAAGTTGCGGCTCAGAATTGTTGGGTTAAGAAAGGAGGTGCTTTCACCGGTGAAGTGAGGTAATATTCTTTACACTTTCCTGCTAAACTTCTTAAGTTTATGATACGCAGATGGTTATGTTCAAAGTAAAACAAGTCCTTTACCTTGTTTGCTCTTTTATCCTGTCGCCTATAAGAATTCAACTACCTTCTATTAAGAAAGCAAATGTATCAATTCAAAAAGAGACATGATTGGATAAGTTTAGATAAATGATTAGATGCGGAAAACAGGTTGAAAGTGATTCATTTTTCCAATATGAGATTTTCGAGAAAGAAAATTTACTTTGTTTGTTCTATTCATTTCTTTGTAAATTGTATCTTAATTTCATCCATTTCAGTTTCTGCATGTTTTATCTTGAACCTATGTGTGTTATCATTTGTGCTTGCACTTGCAGTGCTGAGATGCTTAAGAACTTGGATATTCCATGGGTTATCCTTGGTCACTCTGAAAGAAGAGCACTCCTAAACGAATCCAACGAGGTTAGTGACCTTTCATTTGACACTCTTATAGTATGAAAATTTCCTAACACTAGAGGAACACTTGATTCATGTTGGGGCTTGGGTATGAGGATTAAGCTTCCTGATTGCCATTATACGTGAATTCACACTCCTTGTCTATGTGCTGTAGTTTGTTGGAGACAAGGTTGCTTACGCACTTTCTCAAGGTTTGAAAGTGATAGCTTGTGTTGGGGAGACTCTTGAGCAGCGCGAGTCTGGATCTACAATGGATGTTGTGGCTGCACAGACTAAAGCAATTGCTGGTATGTAGAATACCAAAACTATTTTGGCTCCTTTGCTCTCTTGTTTATGTTATTTCTAATATTAGGCATAATGTTAACTAATCTATTTTTACATGTCAATCTTTCGTGAACTTGCAAGTCTAGTGCTTGCTTTGATCTCCTACTTTAACGGGCAATTGAAATTATGCAATGATTGTTTGGTATATGATCAATCTTTGAGGAAAGTAGGACATTTCCTCCAGTGGCAATACTGGACAGTCAACCTGATCTAAAATTCTCAAGTGGCCTAGAGAAGCCCTTGCTTAACTTTGTTTTCGGCGCTTGCTTATTTTATCAAAACTGTCTCTCTGTTAATGGCAGATCGTGTGTCGAACTGGTCCGATGTTGTCATAGCCTATGAACCTGTCTGGGCCATTGGAACTGGGAAGGTCGCCACCCCAGCTCAAGCTCAAGACGTAAGTTAACTCCAACGCCATGGCTAAAAGCTCAATTTTCTCTCTCTTACCATTTTGTATCTTCTTTCTTATAGTTTTGCTTTTTGAATTATATATGAAAGTGAGTGCCTTTTCGTTTCAAGAAGCCAACTAAAACATTGAGGATAGAAGATCCAATCTAGAGATAGATAATTCCTACGATGCAATCGATATGGATATATCATGACTGTACATGACACAGGTACACGATGAACTGAGGAAGTGGCTTGCAAAGAACGTTAGTGCTGAAGTTGCAGCTACCATCCGAATCATATACGGGGGTAAATAATATACAGTCCTCTATATGTTCCTTAGCCTCTATGGGGTGGGTGGTTAAAACTAAAACAACCAATTGTTTCAGGATCCGTGAACGGGGCTAACTGCAAAGAGCTGGCTGGCCAGCCCGATGTCGATGGTTTCCTGGTCGGTGGAGCCTCTCTAAAGGTTCGACATCCGTATACGCATATGCTTGCTTCATCTATTGTTCTTCTTGTATATTTCGGTTTCTCTAAACGCGTTCTTTTTGGGGCCGTTCAGCCTGAGTTCGTGGACATTATCAAGTCTTCGGAGGTGAAGAAAAGCGTTTAACAGAGAAGCTCAAATATGTCAGTGAGCAGAAGCTCTGGGAGAAACGAATAAACGAAGCGTATGAACATGAATGAACCTGCTGCACTGGTCGGAAGGCTAATGCGTTTTATGAGTTCTTTGCTTCCCATTTGAGGTACTACTGTATTTATAATCTCGGCTGGCTCGCGTTATGTGCCATTTGCAAAACAACCTGTTCTGTCCAATCTGTTTCGCTTCAGAATAGATATTGGTTTATCATTAAAGAAGATAGATAATGCTAAAGAATTTAGAGGTAAAACTCGTGCATAAGCACTGACAAATGAAGCAAAAGTCCATGCATAGACCACGAGAACACAACTTTGTCAACCAAGTCTGCAATAGATTATACCCCCCAATGATTCCTAAAAAAAGTTATGGGATATTTTGCTTTCACAAGCATCCTTATCCTCGTTTGTGTTTTGACAATTAAAAAATATATATATATATATATATATACACATTTACATATGTGTGTATTGAAGTTGTCCGGTCATTGTTAAGGGGTGTCGAAAGTGTACAAAATGAAATCATGGATAGATTTTGACCAAGTGGGAAAAGTCCAAAACAGACATTACCAAACAGATGGAGACGTGAACGCGAACTCATCGGACAATGTCTTTTGTCAACGATCTCCTCTTCTAGTCAAATCTCACGCTCCGTCAGCTTTCCCTAATCGGAAAATACAACGGGATAAGGTCCTATTCCCCCTGGAAACGGTAATGATGCTGATCATCCAAGTCAAGAGGTAGACATGGGTCGGGTACCCGACCTTGAACTTTTGGTTTCTTGTGGCCACCACTTACATCCCAATGAACCCTAATGTCTCTTATCGAACTAATGGTTTCAGGAAATCAGACGAGGAGGCAGAGGAAAAGGGTCGTGCCCCGGAAGGTCATCTATAAAGCTTGTAAACGGATTCATCATGTGTGCACTCTCCCATAATTTTTTTTTTCACTTTGTAATTATGAATTCATTACTGTATATATATATATATATATATGTAGTGGATTCTGGTTATCATTTCTTCACATGTCTTTTTTTTTTTTTTTTCATTCCTATTTACCACTTTTTGTTATGTGGGTATAATAATTATTTAAAACGCTTGATGCATGCGTACTTATTTATTGGCCATGTAAACAAGTATGCTATCGTTGTTGAAGAAAATTTAAGACCGTCACGGGTTGGATGCATATGGGCCTTTCATATTCATTTATCTAAAATTAGTTTTGTTTTGACTTTTTTTTTATATATATTTTATTAAATCACCTTATACACGTCTAGATTGATAATGGTAGTTGGATTATGAAACCAAATCAACCTGTTTTATTGTTTTCAACTAACGTTTGCATTGAGATTCCTAATGTTTTCTAACAATCCGCGTGTGTATATATTAGGGCTCAAAAAAACTTATTCGATATACATGCAAACATACACATGTGTGTGGGTGTATGTATAGAATGCTGAGGAAACATAAGTGCCAAGTGGGTATTACATATTAGGGTGTTCAATGTTGGTTTGCTTGAGTTCTTGGAGTCAACTCGTGGGGAGATATTATGATAACGCGGATCCAATATTCTACAGAAATCATTAGCGGTGAAATTCGACGGGAAGTCCAGCAGAATTTGCAAGTGGATTCAACTATTTAATTAATCTTCTTTTTTTTAATCATTTTCATCGAATCTGATAACGTTCTAATTGAAGCGATCCATTGCACAAACCTAGAGGTATCGGTACGTGTATATAACTAGAGGTATGTATTTAGAATTTTACTTGTGTTGCGATTCGATTGTTTTTTTTTTAATTCGTTTATTTTGATTTTGTAAAAAAAAAATTGTCTATGTGGAGTTTTGAATCGATTCTATTTGGATTTGGTTTGAAGTTAGGTTTTTTTTAATCAAATATTTATTTTTCTGAAAATAGTTTCGTTTTTCTTTTCATTTTTAATTTATTTAATATTTGATTATCTTTCAATTAATCTAATCCAGATAGATAGTTATATTATTTGATTCAATTAGCTTGGTACTCAATTTGAAAATATATAAATATTATTAAACCCTGATTATGGTTAAAAATGGTCAAGTCAACTCTCTAACTTTTGCTCCTTTCGTTAAGGGTAAAACAATAAAAAAATAAGACAAACAGACACATTATTTTCAACTAAATAAATCATTATATTTTACTTTTTTGTTGGGGAAAAAAAAGAAAAATACAATCTGTCGCCATAATTATTATAATAAATAAATAAAATGCCCACATGCATGATAATTAGATTGATACACGACTTAAAGATGCCCTAATCTTCTAGATATTGTTGACTAAATTAATTACATTTTTATAAACGAAATTTTATACAATTGAAGTAAATTAGCTACCTTCTTATATATCGAACTGAAATTCAATTGTCGATCCTGTATATGATATTGTGATTGACTTTTTATGTTAAAAAAAAATGTTGAATCCAGTACGTACTTACGTACGGTAAATCGTAGGGAAACAATGCAAGCAGTAATTTTGTGTGTTCATTTCAGAAAGGCTTAGGATCCAGTAAAAAATACTTTTGATTTGGTCCCTCTGGATAAAAAAAATTTCGAATCCAAAATACTTTTTTTTTTCTCGGTCAAACGCTCTCGCTCTGTCCGGTTCCCTTTCTTTGACTTTTTCTTACACCCCAACACATTAACATAAAACAGAACACTGCCAAGTCTTTGGTCGTCCCTCGTGCCCTTTTGCTCCTTGGTCTTCTTCCCCTTCTGTTTTCACATCTCTCTCTCTCTCTCTCTCTCTCTCTCTCTCTCTCTCTCTCTCCATCTTCATCTTTTTCTCCTGGGGGCCTTTTAGGGGGTTTCTATTATAATTTCTCTGGTTCCACTACTTTCTCTGACAAGTCCTGTTCTGCTCAAACATCTGAAAGAAAGCAAAGAACAGTACCAAAAAGAGGAATCTTTTCTTCTTCCTCCTGCTCTTCTTTCTGTCCGGGTTCATGGGTTCCTGTCTCAGTTCTCGGATCAAAGCCGAAAGCCCTCCCCGTAATGGTAACATATCTGGGACCCTAAAACTTTCTCACTCGATCGCTCCCCTTATGTTTGCTTCCCGGGAAAATCTGGGCTTTCGCATGTGTTTACTTTTTACCTGGGTTAATGGTTTGATCTCATCACCAAGCGAACCTAAAAGCACAACGAGGAATCCAAAATCCGGAAACCCATTTTCTGTGTTTTCCCCCTCTGATCGAAACGTCAAGAGACGAACATCGAACTCTCAGAGATCGTAATCATCAGTCATCTCCATACAGAGTATTTTATTAGAGTCTGACTTCTGGTTCAACGTATATATATGTGTTCCGCAGGAGCTAATTCGAGCGGGAAAAGCAGCGATCTTTACGGCCTAAGCCTTTCGAGCCAGAAATCGTCGATGACGACAGTTTCTCACAAGACGGAGGGAGAGATTTTACAGTCTGCAAGTGTCAAAAGCTTCACCTTCAACGAACTCAAACTTGCCACCAGAAACTTCAGACCAGACAGTGTGGTCGGTGAAGGAGGCTTCGGTTCTGTCTTCAAAGGATGGATCGATGAAAACACTCTGACTCCGACCAAACCGGGAACCGGTCTGGTCATCGCGGTTAAGCGGCTTAACCAGGAAGGACTTCAGGGTCATCGTGAATGGTTGGTGAGTATTCCATGCTGATTAATTCCTTCAAAGTTTGGAACTTTCAGTTCATATTTCAGTTACTGATCCTTGTCTTGTGTTGGAATTTTCAGACAGAGATCAACTACTTGGGTCAGTTGAATCACCCGAATCTGGTTAAACTGATCGGTTATTGCTTGGAGGACGAGCATAGGCTTCTTGTATATGAGTTTATGACAAAGGGTAGTCTTGAGAATCATCTTTTCAGAAGTGAGTGATGATCTATCTCTTCATCAAAATTCAATTCCATATCTTCTGTTAGGCCAGTTTATGGAATTAGAGAGGTGACAGTGCTGTTCTTATGATCAAAATGGACCGGTTTTTTGGATTAGGGGGTTCATACTTTCAGCCGCTCTCGTGGAATCTACGGGTAAAGGTCGCGGTAGAAGCCGCAAAGGGGATTGCTTTCCTTCACAGCGATTCAGTAAAAGTGATATACCGAGACCTGAAGGCTTCAAACATCTTGCTAGACTCGGTATGATCAAGAAAAATCAAATGTTTAAGCCTCTCGAAATTTGGTTCCCAATGTCTATATTGTGACTTGTGTTGTTATGGCAGGACTACAACGCGAAATTATCCGACTTTGGGTTAGCCCGAGACGGTCCAATGGGCAGTCGGAGTTACGTCAGTACGAGGATCATGGGAACATATGGATATACCGCTCCCGAGTATATGTCCACTGGTAAATCTATCATTCCCTTTGATAAATCTGAGTAGAACTAATAGAGACATTGTGTTATAAGTGCCATCTCAATCCTAAAGTTTAATCCTTTTTGGATGAAACTAGTGTTTTTGATCTAGTAATGATCCAAGAATAGCGACCAACGTTTTAGCTTTTGATTCAAGTTACCGATATCGATTCTGCATAACCGTCTTATGTTTTTTCAGGCCATTTGAATGCCAGAAGCGATGTGTACAGTTTCGGGGTGGTTCTTCTCGAAATACTTTCGGGCAGGCGGGCATTAGACCACAACAGACCGGCCAAGGAAGAAAACCTCGTGGAATGGGCTCGGCCTTACCTCGCGAGCAAACGGAAGGTCCTCCAAATCGTGGATAAGCGGCTGGACGGGCAGTACTTGCCAGAAGAAGCTGTTAGAGTGGCCAGCATCGCCGTACAGTGCATATCCACCGAGCCCAAGTCTCGTCCAACAATGGACCAAGTGTTGAGAGCGTTGCAAAGAGTGCAGGACAACTTGGGCAAACCGACCGAACCGGAACCGGTTAGGGATACCAGGAGATTCGGATTGAAAACCGGAGTCAGGTTCCAGAAAAAGGGTTGTGCAAACAAAACACAGTTTGGTTTTTAGGTAGAGAACATCACTGAACTTGGTGTATTGTAATATATGATGAGGTGATTAGTTTTTGATGTGACAATGTTTTGGGTTGTTATCATTTAATGAGATTATACTAATCTTCTCTGCATTTTACGAATATTACCTGTATTGTATTGTATTGTATTGTATTGTTTGGATTATAACAAAATATGAGGGTACTGTTGATACTTTTAAATGTGTGGGGACAAGTTTGAGAACATTAATAACCTAAGGGGTCAATGTGAATATTTATTGAAATGGAGAATAAGGAAAATGACGGTCTCCAAGACGTTGGAACTGTGCGCCGTTTCCTTACTATCTATTTGAACTGTACGCCGTTTTTTTGTCTAATTCTCGAACGAAAGGGTTTTGTGTTTTTGTTATGTAGAGGAAGGGGGTTTATGTGATTTCTGATCGAAGAAGATGATAACCAACGCAATGGCTCTGTTTCAGCAGGCTTTCTTCTCTGTTCCCGTGGCGCGTGTGATTCACCGTCGCTCCCTGACTACCGCCGCCGCCGCACCCTCTCGAGCCGCAGCCGATCGTGCCCCTCACGTGGACTCGCATGTGCTCCTCGGAATGTCGGAGAAGGAGCTTCAACAGGTCGCCGTTAACTTGGGTCAGGTAGGTTGGATTCTTGTCGGAGTATGAAGTTGAAGTAAAGAAACAGGATTCAACGTGTTGTCTGGAATCACTGCTTGGTGGGTCTCGAAAAAATTCTGATTTTTTCCGCTGGAGTTTTGCAGGAAAGCTACAGAGGGAAGCAGCTGCATCATCTTATATATAAGAGGAAGGTGAAAGAGATTGAAGATTTTAGTAATTGTGAGGAATTGTTCATTTTTATCTTGTTTTGGAACTCAATTATTTGATGATTATGCATATGTATGATAATCTGTGACATTTGTATGATTTTTTCATGTTCAAAGTGCCTCTAGCATTTCGCAAAAATCTTATGGAATCTGGATTTAAGGTGGGAAGATCACCGATCTACCAAAATGTCACCGCTGCTGATGGAACCATTAAGGTAGTAAGGCAAGGTGATACACATCTTTGGTAATGCTGAAAGTTTTATCCTTTGTATTGCTTGACGAATGCTATTTGTTTCCGAATTTCGGGTTGTGCTCGTCTATGTTAAAATCTTCCTCATTTCATATGTTTTTGTGCTACTTTCCTTATGTTGAATGCTTTCTCTCTCTGCACACTTATTTTGCAGTTGCTACTGAAGTTGGTAGATAATCGTTTGATTGAAACCGTTGGTATACCAGTTAAAGATGAAAAGGGTTCAATGCGCCTTACTGCTTGTGTTTCTTCTCAGGTGAATGGACTTTCCTGTTTTAGGAATTTGCATTTAGCTTGCATGATGATGGATCTTAAATTGATGTTTAGGATTTCTGGTTAGGTCGGCTGTCCATTGCGCTGCTCTTTCTGTGCCACGGGAAAAGGAGGGTTTTCAAGGAATCTTCAGCGGCATGAGATAATCGAGCAGGTTTTTTTTTCCTTTGTCTCTTATTCTCTGTAGCTCTTGTATCAGATAAACCAAGTTAGAGATTCGAGGAAACATTTTCATGCAATGACAATAGAAAAAAGACTGATCATATACTAGCAATGGAGAAGAAATTAGGTGGAATGTCAGTTTAGGTTGTGTTTTCTAAGTGCATTTTTACACGAATAGGTGTTGGCTATCGAGGAGGTCTTCAAGGAGAGGGTGACAAATGTGGTTTTCATGGGAATGGGTGAGCCAATGTTGAACCTAAAGGCAGTACTCGATGCTCATCGAAGCATGAATAAGGTAACCTCATTAATTGGTTGCTTCTTCCTTGTTTTTTTTAGTGGACTGAAGGTTTGGTTCATAAGAGGTTATGACGGTCTTTTGAAAGAAAACCAGTGTAGCATTTCCAGATTGGAAATGAACGAAAACATCATTCGAGTTCCAAACTTTTCAGTATCAATCTCACAGTTTAGATCAGATGTGTTAAAAATGACCCATGATGTTAAATATGAAGGGGTTTTTTCCGTTTATATAGGATATTCTAATCGGGCAAAGAATGATCACAATTTCTACCGTGGGTGTTCCAAACACAATCAAGAAGCTGGCCTCTCATAAACTTCAGTCCACATTAGCCGTGAGGTGCTTCCTCTCTTCTCGTTTTCCATTTCATGTTTTGTTCAATGACTGGTATCAGCCTCAATACAAGTCCCATTGATTCTTTACTGTAAACATAAAATGGCTCTTTATGTTCATGCTATATATGCTTACCATTCCTGTTTCTTTATTTTAATGGAACAGTTTTTACTGATCAATAGCTAGTGGAGATGTTAATTATACTGCTTTTTCTCTTGTTGACTGGTTGAATCAGCTTACATGCCCCAAACCAGGATCTCCGGGAGAAAATCGTACCGAGTGCAAAGGTTTACCCGTTGGAAGCACTTATGAAGGATTGTCGAGATTACTTCCAAGAAACAAGCAGAAGAGTCTCCTTCGAATATGCCCTTCTAGGTATGGCAACTGCTTCATTGAGAAATTAAAAGAACAATATTATGCTCCTCCTTGTCAACATGTCGGATCATTCATGGTGAAAACATCTAACGGAAACTCGTATATTAACGATGACAGCCGGAGTCAATGATTCAGTAGAGCATGCGAAAGAACTTGCAGGGCTACTCCATGAATGGGGTCGAGGTCATCACGTGAATCTGATTCCCTTCAATCCAATCGAAGGCTCAGAGTACCGACGACCTTACAGGAAAGCAGTAAGTTGATACCCATCTCGACCTTTTCCCCCCTGCAATATTCCCCGGGAAAAAAAAAAACAAGAATCGGCTCACTAACCAACTATTGTAGGTTCAAGCATTTGCAGCCGGGCTGGAATCGAGTAAGATAACGGTAAGCGTGAGGCAAACGAGAGGGCTCGACGCAAGTGCGGCTTGTGGTCAGCTCAGAAACAAGTTTCAGAAAAGCCCTTTACTCGACGAGACAGATGCCTTACGACCTCATCGGCCCGATGCAGGTGAAGGGGAACTAGTTCTATGTTGATGTCTGGATTTCGGAGGAAATCTCAGGTTTTGTGTTTCGGGGTTTGGACATGACAAGTTCCAAGTTCTTTGGAGCTGTTTGGTCTTGAACTTGAGGACTTGCAAGATGATACTCTCTGTGTGAATGAACGCTGGAATTCTGGTGAAATGATAGTGAACCAAGTGATGGACCACTTTCTGAGATGTAATTACCGTGTTTACTTAGGTTTTTAACTTTTTATTGGGAGTTAAAACATTTGTTATTAGAAAACTGGAATTTTTATTATAAAAAATGCTTTATATGTGGAATTAAATCGGTTGTAGTAATCATGTGAAATCAAATAAATTGTTCGCTTTAGCTAATTAATCTAATAACCAAGATGCAAATTTATTATGTTTGTATGTACATATATATATTTACTTCTCTGTATTTGTTAAAGAAAATAATAATTAAAATTTAATCTAATCTAATCTAATCCCGGAAAAGATTCTCCAAGGATGCAAGACAGAGCTGGGTCTGCCCATTTATTTAAGTGGGACCCACTAAACGATTTTTTCCCTAACGAAACTTAGGGTTCATGCCAGATTTTTTTCTCGGGTAAAGCATTTCAGATCTTTCCTGTCCAGTTGCTTCTTGAAACCCTTTTGAATTCACCCGCGCTCAATTGCAAGTAAATTCCTTCCTTTATTGACAATCCTTCATTGCTGGTGAATGATGCTATCGATTTAAACCTCAATCGGTGATCTTTAGTCTGGGTTTTGACGAATTCGACGTGAAAGCTGATTCCTGAACTCTGTGAATGTTGTTTGCGAGTGTTTGAATTAGAGGTTGATTTGATCGGGACGATGTTTTCTTGGCGAATAACGTAGGTTGTTGTTGTTTAGTCATGAGCAGGAACAGCCCACCAAGGAGAGGATACGGCGGACGTAAGGGCACGAATAATGGAAAGCCTCACGGTTCGAAACATTCCCCTTGATTGCAGGTATTGTCTGTCTTCTCTAGGGTTTTTACTATGTTTAGGGTTTAGGGTTTCTGTATATAATTCCAGGTATTGGATCTTTTTGTTCGTTTTCCCAAAACTTTTGTTGTTCTTTTTGCAGGCCTGAAGCGCCTCGGGTTCCTTTCGAGAGGTTCGGACATGTTAAGGATGTTTATATCCCAAAGGACTACCATACAGGGTGAGTTTCCTCTCTCTCTCTGTCTGTTCTGTACTTGTCGATAGTTTCGAGTTATGCATCCTTTTGTTAGTTATTAATACCAGTTGTATGCCATGGATAAGTTAACTCCTTGGTACTTTGATTCAATTGTGTGTATCGTGGTTTATGATTGTCGTCTCAAGGTTTAGGACCGTGATTCGGTGGGTTGGAGTCCCTGAGTTCATTGGACCTCTTTCTCCTTGGCAGTTCCTGTCGAAATGTCTTACTAACATACTTAACGTCCTTTCTGACATGCTTAATATTTTGGAAACTCTCAGAAGCTTGGCTTTTACAGTGTTCGAGAAACGTATACTGGGCTTAAGATATGTAAATCTGTGCAACATTTACATATCTTATTCCCCTGTTCCAAGACGAAGGCCAGATTACTCTCATACTCTGCATCTCCTCCAGGATCACCCCGAGAAGAAAAAGAAATCGGAAAATACAACGGGATAAGGTCCTATTCCCCCTGGAAACGGTAATGATGCTGATCATCCAAGTCAAGAGGTAGACATGGGTCGGGTACCCGACCTTGAACTTTTGGTTTCTTGTGGCCACCACTTACATCCCAATGAACCCTAATGTCTCTTATCGAACTAATGGTTTCAGGAAATCAGACGAGGAGGCAGAGGAAAAGGGTCGTGCCCCGGAAGGTCATCTATAAAGCTTGTAAACGGATTCATCATGTGTGCATGCCCGCAGAAGAAATTCAACCCTTTTGAATCTAATTCCACCTTATTCTAACGATCTTTTTTTTTTTTGCAAGTTGATAAAATCGAAGATGCTGCGCATAAAGGGTTTTGGCCAGCATGGACCGATGTTCTATTGAAATGATCTTTGTTTGAAAAACAAATATAGAATCAAAGTAAGTCGACGTTGACGCATTCGTAGCCCTTCTCGCTCTTGCCGTTTGTGGTCAAATAGTTCTTAAAAACAATAGTATAAATTGCAGGGCCTTGCGTGAAAATATGTAATTTGAAAGCGCATGAAGAGATGGGCCCACCCACGAGGACGTAGTTGCGTGTGGAAAAGTATGACTTGTCATTGTCTCATTTGATACAGTCTGGTCCAACGCCTTTTCCTCGTTGTACATGTTTATAAGCCTTTCCCCTTACCAATTATGGTTGAACAGAAATCTTAGAGAGAGAGAAAGAGAGATGGCTGTTGGGATTTTGGAGGTGAATCTGATCAGTGCCAAAGGTCTCAAATGCTCTGATTTTCTTGGTAATAAGAATCTCTCTCTCTCTCTCTGTTTTTATTTTAATTTTTTTTTAATTATGATGGGTTTTTGATTAATGATGAACATCTATCTGGTCATGGGTTCCATTCAATTTGGTGAAAAGGCAAGATAGATCCTTATGTTTGTTTTGGTCGAATACAAAGGTCAAATCCGTAAAACCAGCTCTGCTCGAGGTTTGTTCTCTCACCCCTTGATTTTTATTTTTGGTTTTAAGATTTTTGGATACATGTCTGATTTGAGTTTTTGGATTTTACTTAGGAAATTAGGACCAAGGTGCTCTTCCTTATTTTTTTATTTTTTTTGGTTCTTCTTTGTCCAAAAGGCAATATAAACAATTTATGATTTACTTCCTGGGTGGGCTTGCATGGTTACAAACTTCTTCCGGGAGAATGTTATATGGATCAGGTTTCTTGTTAAAATAACTAATCAATTTAGAATATTTTAATCGAATAAAATAATTAATAATATCAGATAGTAGTTGACATTTGTTTATTATGATTTTACTGAAAACCACCATCACAATCTTCCTCTATTACCCTCAATCAATTTGTGACTTGACAAATATGAAAATGTTGAGACAGAGGGAGGTAGGAATCCGACATGGGAGGAGAAGGTGAGGTGGAGAGCAGAGTATCCTGGCTCCGGCGGCGACTACGCTCTCCTCGTCAAGCTCATGGACCACGACACCTTCTCCAGCGACGATTTCCTCGGCCAAGCCACGTAACCCCATCTCCAATATTCCATCACAGCCTTCAATGAATGAATGCCCGCGTCATCGAATGTTTTTATGTGAAAATTAATGGTGATAGGGTTTACGTGAAAGAGATGTTGGAGCTCGGGGCCGAGAAGGGGAAAGCAGAGATTCATCCAACCAAGTACAGAGTCGTCGGTGCCGATCTCAACTATTCCGGCGAGATCCTTCTCGGAGTTTCCTTCTCCCTTCTCGTATGTTTTTTTCTCATGTTTGGGAATTACTGAAAAGGCTAAATATTTTTATCTGCGCACAATTAACCCAAATAGGGTGAAAATGGTTGTGTTTTGGGTGAAAATGAAAGTTTCAGGCTCTTTTAATAATTTAGATAAAAAGTTTATTCTCATCTCATGTTGTCGGTAGCTCTACTTCTACGTATCGTCCTCTATTTGGTCACGTTTTCAACATTTTGATATTTGATTTTTTTTTTTTTTGCGAACTTGCAGGATAAAGATAACGATGAAGAAGAAGACTATGGTGGATGGAAGAGTAGCCAATTCGATTAGTCTCTTTTTTTTTTCCGTGAACTAAATTTCCTATTCAAGTTGCAAAAAAAAAAAAGATCTTATTTCATTTCTTTGACTTGGTTGTGATAATGGTGTGGGGGAAATTCCAAATTCGGATTTAGATACATATTCGAATGTCGCATCTTCATCTCATGGTTACTGTTACTGAGACGTTTTTGGAAACACGATATTACCTCTAAAATTTAGAACAAAAAAATAATCGGAGCACTGTTTATAAAAGTTTTATTTTACATAATGTTAGTGTTAAATTGGGTCGATGATGATGATGATGTGGTTTGCACTTTCAAAATAGAAAGTCAAACATTACCATGATTGAAGAATCGAATGTTTGACTTTTTATATTTGGTGTTTATTTGCCATATCACTAACGTAAGGTATAATTAAATTTAAATGAAAAAGGGGTTTTAGGGTCATGGGGTTCACGTCATGACCACCACCTCCGCTGTAATTACTGAGACTTGGTGTTGTGTTCTGTCTGACTCACAGTTGGATACGGCGAAGTTCATGTGACCACACCGAAAATGTCAACACTAATCTAACCATATATTACATATATAAACCCTAAACTCGATTTCAATGGTATCTAATACGATATATATATCATATTAACATCATATTTTACAAGTTCTTTACATATATATATGTATATATACACAGAATCCTTTGCATGCATATGATCAAAACTCACCGACCTTACTATTAATGGCTCCCACGTTTCACATTCTCCATCTTTCCCTCCATTGATATAATAACTGTCTTCTTCTTCTTCTTCTTCTGATGACATTGCAGACGGATGAAATTTGAACAACTCCTCATGGAAACTGGACATCAACACTGTCAGAAACATGATCTTCAACAAAGTGTAAGCACTTCCGTTATCCATTCCGACAAGCAATGGAGCTTCTCTTTAAACATTCTGCTTTAACTGATGCTTTTCAGGTGATGAGTCTAGACGGGGAACTGGGCCATGAACAAGCAATCCACAAAGCCTTGCGAGCTGCCGTCAATGGCACCGTCTTATCACAGCCACGCCTCACCTTTTCCCTTCTTCCGCCTCAGGCTAGTACATCGAGACCTTACTACTTCCGATTTCTCAACCTACAGAGGAAGAAACCTTATTTAAACATGATCCTGAATTCGGGTTTTTCGATATTCACAGTTCGTGCTATTGTGTATACGTTAGATTCACCAAACCCATATTGGTGAAAGGAAAGCGTTGTGATCTTTAATTTGGGTATTGATAGGACAGGTTCAGGAGCTTATCACAGAAATTGCAACGGTTGAAGCAGAGATTCTTCGTCTAGACCGCCAAATTCAGGAGCTGAAACTTGACCTGTACCAAGAACAGATACAAAACCAAGAGATGCAGATGAGTTTAGTGTCGGAGCAGCAAGAGCAGAGGAGGGTTCTCACCAGACAAAATCATGTCAGACACGATCTGCATCATCGGTCAATGTCCCAATACTACCGACGAGCTCCCAGAGATTCAGCCTCGGCCCACTCCAGGTTCTCGTTCGCTTATGCTTCTTCCGATTTCTTCAATGCAACTTCCACAGGCTTCACAGGTAACCAACAAAGACCGAACCAAATCAATTTCCCACTGAGTAATGAATTTTAAGCAGGCACTTACACTATCACCGGCCATTTTGTTGAGCAGATGAACTTGATAAGTTGTCGAGGATGCAAGTGACAAAAGGGATTCAAATAGTGGAAGCTAAGATTAAAGATGACCCCAACGATGTATCAGAGCAGCTCATCAGGTGTCTCATAGGCATATATCTGGAAATGAACCAGGTATCACCAGGCAAAGCTGAAGGAGATGTTGTACCAAAGCGTCAGAGTCTTCCACACTCGAGGAGACAATCCTTTAGCCGGAAAGCTAACACATACACTTGTTATTACCAGAATACACTGAATCTAGATCCTTACCGCATTTTGTCAGACTCGAGCGGGGTCATTAGGGATGTTGGCCCTTACAATAACTTCATTCACATAACTAAGAGCTCACTTGATGTGAGCAGTTTCACCCACTACTGCTCGCCCGCTGTCCCACGATTAAGGTAACTTGTCCAAAACTGAGGATGCTTTTGCACATTTTTATCACTTTGATTCCCCCTCACAGCTATCCAGCCGATCTGAATTCAGACGGATGACGAGGTTTCAAAGCCTTTACCATTTGTTAACAGAGGTTTGAACATTTCATGCTTTCCAGGGTTCTGATGGAGAAACTAGCAGAGGTTGAGTTGAGCTTCTTGACCTACAAGCAGAAGCTTGCATTCTGGATCAATATCTACAACGCCTGTGTAATGAATGTACTGCAAAAATTCTCCAAAATAGATATAACTTTTTTCTCTAGAGAATACTATAAACCTATGGGTGCTTAAAATAATCCTCCAAAACATTTTTTGTTGCAGGCATTTCTCGAGCACGGGTTACCTTCATCGCACAACAAATTACTTACCTTGATGAACAAGGTAACTTCATAGATCCAAACGCGGAGTGATGAAAATGGTAAATCTTGTAGAAACTTCTATAACATAACGGCGCTCTCGATTTCTTTGGCAGGCTTCGCTCAACGTGGGCGGCATAGTCTTGAACGCTTTGGCCATTGAGCATTTCATCTTACGCCATCCAGGTGAACCAGAACATGTAAGCCGATCTAACTCATCGAATTCACAGCAATATAAACACTATCAGTTGAATCTAAGAAGCTTTTTCCATGAAAAGGGTTTGAACAATGAGAAGGAAACTCTACTGAGGCACGCTTACGGCCTTGGATACTCTGAGCCCAATGTGACATTTGCACTTTGCCGTGGAAACTGGTCCTCGCCAGCGGTAAGTGTATAGGACGTATCCATTCATATAGACAAAACATATGATGATGACACATCTCCATGAACATCGATCTGCAGCTCAGAGTTTACACACCGGACAACGTTGTGAACGATCTAGGCAGAGCAAGAGTAGAGTATCTAGAAGCTTCTGTCGGTGTTTCGAGCAAGAAAAGGATTGTGATTCCACAGCTCCTGCAATGGAATATGAAGGATTTTGCAGACGATATGGAATCCCTTCTGGAGTGGATTTACAGTCAGTTGCCGAGATCAGGGAGCTTGAAGGGCATGATGATGGAATGTCTGAAAAGAAAAGCGAAAACTCCTTTAACTAAAATGGTCGAGATTCAGACATACAGGGACGAATTCCGTTACCTGTTGTCATTGTAGACGAGAAAAGAAGCTTCTCTTGTTATTATTACAATGCAGTTCTTCCGCCATAGGTGATACGCATAAATAAAAAATTGAGATCGATAACGAAAATATTCATCGCTGAATTGGTGGCATACATGAAAGCGAAATTGGATAATTCCCAAACTGATCGAAAATCGGAGATTGGAGAGAGAAGGGAATGTTTGGATAACGGGATAGTCTTGTCCGAATCCGGGTTATGCTTAACACGGTTGGGTCGAATCCTTTACCGATTTGGGCAAATTCAATCGGGTTGGGTTTTGGGTACGTGGAAATTGGAACAGCCCATGTGGGTCATGCGCATACATAATAATAATACACATATAAACGTGTATACGTCTCTCGCCGTCGTCTCTCACCGTACATCTCCCAAAAAAAAAATTCTGGAAATAAATCCGATAAAGTTGAGATCTTTTCACTGTAGATTCAATATTTTTTTGATGGGCAATGGTTATAAAGAGAGAGGATTGAGTGGGAACCTAACAAATCCCTCGGGGCGGAGAGAACCCAAGATCGAAATCGAAGGAGAAAAACTTCTCGTTTGCTCCCCTCCTAGCCCTCGATGACGGTCCTTCCAATTTCACACTTGATATGAGCCCTAGATCCAGATTTTGCGTGAAACGTTCCTGAACTAGACTTCATGTTGTCCAGATGTTTTGGGGATTTGCTGTTCTCTATTGCTTCTGTTTCCGTTCAAAGAAAGCTCTGAATAAAGCCATTTTTATGTCTTGTTCTCTTATAGTCTTCCATATTTGTTGCTGACAAGAACGAATAACCGTTACATTTTCAGCTGTGTAAGAATCAGACGCATAGGGAACGGGACCAAGATTTCTTCCACTCAATACCTTGTTTCCCCCTACGTGCTCTGTCTCGAACGTTTTCTTGTCCGCGTGTACATTGACGGGCGTTTTCGTATTGGATGTAGTCGAGGTTCAAGAAATAGAGTTCTCCAAGTTCTGAAATTCGGCCTTAAAAAAATCCATGTTCCAAGATTATCAAGGGTTAGAGAAAAGAAATTGAAAACGTAAAGAAAGATTAATCAGAACAAACTTGTATATTAATATTAACTTCAGCATTACAGGTTGTAACGAGAGCTGCGGGCTATTCCACAATAACTTTTTCACAGCCACTTCAGCTCTTCCCCTCCCCCCATCTCTCTCAGGCCCTGAAATTCTTCCCGACAAAAGTTTGACCAAACTGCCAGTGGGAAGGGACGATATTCCACGAGGTGGAAGATCTACGGTCACTGCCTGTTACGCGGAATGAGAGAGACTGACCGACAAGAACAGCGTTGGACTGCCAGTTCTGTCCCCAGTTCCTGCTCATTCCCATCCATCCCGTCTTCGTCCCCTTCACGCTCGCTCTCGCGATGTCTCCAGCTCCCGCAACGTTCGTTATCAGCACGAGGTTGAAGTATCGATGACCGTTGATCGTGAACCTTATCCCTCCCCTCTTCCTACACGGAACTCTGCACAATTTCCACGAGTTTGCATCAAAAGATTCAAAAACTATGACTTCTGATCCATGGGTTTGAACTGTACCTGCGGTAGGAGACAGGGACGATGCCTGCGCGGTACTCTGCGATCTTGAGGAACATGGGCATGGCAAGGTCGAAGTGGGCGCGGGGAGGATTGCACCAGCCGCCATTGTCGGAGGGCAAGGCGAAGTTAGGAGGGCAGAAGTTAGTGGCGGGGGTGGAGATGGAAGGGCTACCGCTGTGGCACCAGTGAGGGTCGTTTGCGCATTTGAGCTCGAAACAGGCGCCGCAGGTGAAGCCACTGTTGAACAGAGCAGTGCTCAATGCTGCGGTGTTGACGCCGTATCCTTGGCTGTACAGATTGCCGTACCCGCACGCGCCTCCTGTTTGTAACCACAGAACGTGACCATGTGCTCTGTTTGGAAGATCTATGCTCTGATTTCGGTTAATTATGAAAATGCGTTGTGTTTAACCAGAACCCATGTATCAGTTTATCGTTAGGGATACTGTGTAATGGCGTGGTACAGAAACTGACAACGTGGAAGCTCGATATCTAAAACATCCGAAACAATGCTCTGCTTTTGCCCAAATGAAGAATCGTTTGAAACATTGATGCTCTGTTTCAGAGCGTGCCCTTTTTTTGTGGGAATGGGTACAGAATATGTTTGTCGGAAAGCGAGAGATGGAAGGGCTACCGCTGTGGCACCAGTGAGGGTCGTTTGCGCATTTGAGCTCGAAACAGGCGCCGCAGGTGAAGCCACTGTTGAACAGAGCAGTGCTCAATGCTGCGGTGTTGACGCCGTATCCTTGGCTGTACAGATTGCCGTACCCGCACGCGCCTCCTGTTTGTAACCACAGAACGTGACCATGTGCTCTGTTTGGAAGATCTATGCTCTGATTTCGGTTAATTATGAAAATGCGTTGTGTTTAACCAGAACCCATGTATCAGTTTATCGTTAGGGATACTGTGTAATGGCGTGGTACAGAAACTGACAACGTGGAAGCTCGATATCTAAAACATCCGAAACAATGCTCTGCTTTTGCCCAAATGAAGAATCGTTTGAAACATTGATGCTCTGTTTCAGAGCGTGCCCTTTTTTTGTGGGAATGGGTACAGAATATGTTTGTCGGAAAGCGAGAGAGAGGTTACCCATGGTGCCGGAGGCGTCGCTGCCGCCATAGAAAGTAGCGTGGGCGCTTTGCCAGGCGCCGCCGGAGTAGACGCCGGGGAATCTGCCGTCGGCGAAGTTCAAGAATATCAAAAACAGAGGCAATGCGGTTACAAGAATCCTTGATTTCACTGCCATTTGGTTCAGTTTTTGGTGTTTACTCTGATAGAAGGAGAACGTAAGCTCTGAAAGGGTTTTTGCCTTTGGCTTTGGGGAAGACGGTGGACAAAGCACGAGTGAGCTTCGCTTTTTATAGAGAGAGAGAGAGAGAGAGAGAGGGGAACTCCAAAGTTTTTGAGAGAGAGATTTTTTTTTTCACTAAACAATGACGCTATCCTTTAACCGTGCTCCGATTATATTTTAGTTAACATATAAATTTGATAGGTGGAATTAAATTTAGGGTTGTATAACGTGATGTCCATACAATAGGAATAGAAACAAACTGAATAAATATATTGAAATAATCGATTTTTGAATTAACAACTATCGCTGCATTCACTGATAATAACACATGAATATCAATTCAACTGTTTTTTTCATGTCGAATTTGCTACAATAAAATCGTAGATATAAATAATAAATGTGATTAAATAATTTTATAATGAAAAAAATTAGGGCGGGGCGGTGGTGATAGGAGGGGAGAGAGGTCGTCACAAGAAGCATCAAGGGATTATTTAGGGTGAAAAAATTTGGTGACAAGGCATATCTAATCTAATGCACCAACCATATCTTCTTCAATCTGCCACGTAATCACTGATTCTTATTACATCTTTTTTGCTTCGTTGGATTTTGTCTCTAGATACATTTTCTGTTACCGACGATTTAATTCCCCCACCTATTTCCATCCATACGTACGTGTACTCATTTCTTATATCTACTCGCATTTTTTTATTATTAAATTCCCAAACTACAAATACTTGTGTTCATTGAAAAAACCGCACGTCCCTTCTAATTTTTTTTTTCATATTTAGAAAAAATAATATATTTTATTAACTGTGCATGTGAATTTATAATCTATCCCCACCAACGAACTCACACGTCCCTTCATTTATTTCTCTCAAATAAAAATATAACCATTTTTCGTCTATATTCATATTTTGTTTTTTATTTGCTCACAAAAAAAAAAGGAATCCAATTGCACATTGTGTAAAATTCAAGAACGCTGCCATGCCACGTGTGGATTTTAATCGTAATATATAACTAAAATACAATGTATTGCAACTTCAATTAAAATTATGAAGAAATTGAAGAGCATGACGTATGAGGAGCGTATGGAAGAAACTTTGAGAACAAATGATGTGATTGCTTAATACAAGCTAATAATGGCAACATCATTATACTACTTATAACGCTTAGACGTGAAACAAAAGTACGTGCGGATTGCTAATTGTAAAAACCATGTGTATTTTTTATTGTTAATGTACTTAATTATATTCATTTATGTGTGTGTGTATATATAAATGAATATATAGTTTTTATAAACTAACCGAGGTTTAGAAGATGAAAAATGAATGATCAATGTCATGCAAGCCTGTCTCATAGTAAACATTGACACCACAAGGGGAAAGCTCCAACTCTGTTGGTTGAGGTCTTATCCTTCTAATTGGAAATCGTGAGTTCAACTCTCCAGATCACGAGTTTTTCCCTCAACCTGTCAATTTCGGTTGGTTTACTTTTTCACATGGTTTGCAGGCTATTGCGTGGGATCAGTGGTTTCCTCCGTTACCATAAAAAAACATCGACACCACGATATTAAATCGTTAGATCATATCACCGATTTGAACAAACACATAAAAACGTTGGGAAAAGAATCATACATTAAAAACAAATATATAAATATATAATTACCTCAAGCGTGCGGCTTCTTCTTCATGCTTTTGGAAAACGAAATGTTCAATTGCCGAAGAGCCTTTGATAAATCATAAACCATAGAGGTTGGACCACCAAAGGGACCATTACAAAGTTTGTATCCCTTCCTTGCATGCATCAATGTGTCAATCTAATCATTTGGTATTAAACTTTACGCAACACTCTCCTCAAGAAAAGAAAAAAACATTAAGTCCCCAACTCTTAACTCCAATTATTGTTAAGCATGATCGAAAATCTTGTGTGTGTTTTTTATAATCTGGAAATTTATTGCATTTTCGATTCAATACATCTCCCAAAAGACGGGAAAGCTCAAATGAATATCTTTTTTCCAAACAGAAACTCGAACTGGAGTTTGAAAAAAGTTTTGTCCCACTCTTTACCAGTTATGCCACGTCTAAAATCTCGTGGTTTACTTGAAGAAAACACTCTCTTGTGTTTTTATATTTACCAAAATATTTTTAAAAAAACTTGTGTTTTTAACTTCTCTTGACTTCCTCGGATTCCATTTTCAAGCATTCTGTGACACTGTTGGGTCGACATTGACATACTCTTGATTACAACCAATAATTTCCACCATGCATATATAACAACATAATTCCTTTTTATAAAACCATTTTCGGCAAACACATTTGCATGTCAAGTTTTTTAAATGAACAAATTAAAAAAGGATATATATTTTTTTGTAGAACAATCAAATTCTTTAAATTTTCTTTACAAATCCCATATATCAGTCGCATGAAATGAATAAAGCAATTCCTAAGATATTTGTGTTTATCTACCGTATTAATCTACAGACATTAATTAGAATATAGGATTTATTTATTCATTAAGAAACACTACAAGAAAAATGTCCAACAAGGTTTTCCATCTTTAAAAATACAACTTTTTCGTTAGAAATAACCTTAATTATGTTTTCGTAGGATATAGACAAATGGTCTAAATGGTTGTTTATATTAAGAAATGTCGATGTTTTAAAATATTTTTTGTCACGATAATGTATATTATTAAATGTTTCAGATTTTCTAGATAATTAGTTTGCGATGAAACTATCACGGATTAACAAATTTATCTCTAACTGTTATTTATATGTTATTTTTCTAAAAATATTCACATTCAGAAAATATAAAATCGACGAAAACGCACACCCTTTTTTTGTTACCATTTTCTTAAGATATTATATGTCCAATTTTAGTTACATACATTTTATTAATTTTTTCTTTAATCTCATCATAATAATAAAGCTATAGATTTCATCAGCCCACAATTACCTACGTTTATTTTGAACCCTAAAAGCCCATTTAATCCTAAAAGCCCATTTAAGTAAACCCATACTCGCTACCTGAAGCCCATTTTACTTGCAATTAATTCAATTCTCTGCTGCCGGTACTCATACTGTACGATGCTCCTACACATTTTTAGCGACTCACATAACGACACGTGTCATGTGACCAATGTGCCCTATTTTCCTTGTAAATAGTTATTGGATTATTATTGTTTTTTTTTTTTGTAAAGGGCAATTAATTATTGTATTTAGTATGCTCTTAAACATTATATGTATATATTTAAAAGACAAAAAGGTTGGACCAGATTAGTATAATTAGGTGACGAATTTTCTTTTCGTTACAAAGTTCGTTTTTTTAAAAACCTTTCTGTTAGTTAATTTTTTTTATTTGAGAAGCCAATCGATGTCTCATTTATAATGTTTACAAAATTCCCAAAGTAACTTTTTTCTATAATGTTTACAAAATTCGTCACCAACTGGTGAGAAGAGACATTTGCGTGGTGAATGTTATATGTGCAAGTGTATTGTTTACTTTCTAATATAAAATCCAAGGCCCGATGCGGGCACGTCATTATGTCACATCAGTCATATAAAATGTTTGTACTGTATGTATTATGATTCAATCGAAATAATACTATCTTTTATTATTATGAAAATCCATAAATTATTTCATTTTTTTGAATTTATGCTCGGGCAAACAGATTAAAACTCGTTTTAATTAATGCTACGGTCTCTAAATCAACGGTGTAAAAAATATAAATCCCCTTCTCATACATGTTTGTTTTGGGGGGATGATGAAGCCACTAGAATAACAAACAAAAAACCAAAACTAATTTAGGTTAATTTTGTTTTAATTCGGTTCCGACTTTATTTTATTTCGAATATATTTGTGAATCAAAAAGCATGAAAAAAAAAACAAATAATACGTTATTTATGTAATGTATTATTCTCACCCTCCCTCTTTATTTTTATTTATTTATTTTTTGCTCGAGCGGCTTTCAAATGTGTTCATTTGTTGATTTCTCTCAAATGCTTATGAGAAAAAAAGAAATTTTTATCAGTGTATCATTAATCCGAGTATGAATTTATTAAATCAATGACAAAAGTAAAAGAAAAAAGAAAACGAACTAAATGTCCGAATCGAACCAACAATGGAAAGACTCTTGAAACGAGGACTGAAACTGAAACTTCAAAAGGACAGAGAAGAGAGGAGAGAGAGAGGGAGAGAGTGAGAGAGAGAGAGAGAGAGAGAGAGGAGGATACGATGTAATAAGTTAGGTTTCCGAAAAGAGAAAGCTACACGAAGCAGTAGAGGTTGAATCTATAGAACCCCCTACTTATATATATATATATATATATATTAATTATACACATCAATTTTGACGAATCATCTCAGCAAAATCTATCATAAATTATTTTTTCTGTTCCATTACAATATTTCAACCAAAATCAACGAGGATGACAGGCAGTAAACGTATTTCTCATCAAGTTATTATCTTTATAACCTTTTTGAGATTGATTTTTTTTTTGAGGGGGGGGGGGGGG